GAAAGAAAGAAAGTATTCTCAGCATGTCCCCACTCTGGAGCAGAAAGAATGCTTCCTGGCACTTCTAAATCTGGGTCCTGTTCAACTCCACCTTCCTTGTTGGGTGTGACAAACCCAACCCCATGGGAGAGTCAGACCCTGCCCTCAAGCCAGACAATCCAGGTCAGGCAAAAGGGATCAGAGAGATCAAAGCTCTGGGGAACCCTTAGAGCAGGCAGTCACCCTAGGACTTAGGGGTCACCAAATGGTGCGAGGGGCACCTTTGAAATCCCTTTGTCAGTCAGCTGCAGTCCAGAGCCCAGGCTCAGATCAGCTCAAGGTCCCCATGCTGGGCCAGGAGGCTCTGGGGAATCAGTAGAGCAGCCCTGAACTTTTGGGTTCTCGCTTTGGGTTCTATTCCCAGCTCCGGGCTTGGGTTACGTGACCCTTGTTCATTCCCGCCCTCCTGTGCTTGAGTTCATCTGGTCTGACCCAGGTCTCAAGATCCACAGTCTCCACCAGCCCAAGGCTTCACCACCCACCTCACTCCCAGATCTGGGGCTCTCAAAGGGCAGCCCCTGCACCACCACCAGCAGCCCAAGCTCTGGGAAACACAAGAGGGGTCTGGGGCTCCCCCAGTCCCGACTCTGAGAGGCTTAAGAGGTGGCTGGTAAGATTACTGAAGAGAGAGATTACTGAAGAGAGAGATATTTAGATGATACCAGAGTGAAAGCTTATTAAAGAGGACACTGACAGAGGGACTCAGCAACCTCAGAGGGATGCCGCTAGCACAGTTTAGTGTGTGTGTGTGTGTGTGTGTGTGTGAATGTGTGAGTGTGTGTGTATGTATATGAGTGTGTGAGAATGTATGTGCGTGAGGGTGTGTGAGTGTGTGTGAGTGTATGTGTATATGTGAGTATATGAGTGTGTGTGAGTGTGTGTGTTAAGTCTGTATGTATGAGTATGCGTATGTGAGTGAGTGTATGTGTGTGAGTGTGTGTGTGTGTAATTCTGTGTGTATATACACATTTACACACATGCTTTTGCTTTTAGGGCTACCCCCAACAGTGCTCATGGGACTCTTTCTGTCTCTGATCAGCAGTGATGCCTGACAGGGCATATGGGACCGTGGGAGGTGCCCAGAATCAAACCAAGGTCAGCCAAGTGCAAGGCCAGTTTCTATCCTCATGTTCTCTCTCCAGCCCCCTGGGGGAGCCTTTTATCTTCAAGGGGTGCAGCACCGGGCCACTTGGGCAGGAAGGTAGGGTGAGGCATTCTGAGAACTGGAGATGAGTTTGGCTGGTAAAGAGTGGTTGTAATTGGCCAATTTAGATCCAGAGAGTTTAAACAGAGGGTGTGTGCTGCTGGGGCTGGTAGAACTGATTGTCCTCAGTGGTGAGCTGTTTTCCTGAGATGGAAGCCCACACTGTCTCCCTTGAGTGTGTTATTCTCTCTCTCTCTCTCTCTCTCTCTCTCTTTCTCTTTCTATCCCTTCCCCTTCAAAACCTCCAAATAAAATCTGATTTACTTCAAAAAAATGTAGATTCTCAGGTTCCATGGCAGATCTGAAGCTGAAACCCTGCAGAGTAGCCCTGCCATCTGGGCCTAACTAACCCTGCCACCAAGCCCTGAGAACCAGGGGTCCCCAGTCCATCCTGGCCCACAGGAATGCCCTGCCAGTCCACAGAAAGGTGGCTACTGCTTAACACCATGGTTCCCAACTGCTGGGACATGGATAGGAACCCATCCATGCCAGAAGTCAAAAGCTGCTGGTCCAAAGCTCTCATTCAGTCTTGGCCACTATGTACATCCGCACTTCCCCTGGCCACACCACCTTGATACCAGCCCAGCACCTTGGTGTGGGACTCTCAAATCAACGGCAAGAAAAACAAAGAACATTTGAACAGTGTTCTTGATTATTCTGGTGAGCAGGGTTGAAAGCCATTCAGAATGCAGGCTCACAGGTCCCCGAAATAGCATCTCTGCCTGTGAGGCAGACACTTGTACTGACGTCTTAGTCTCTAATCCCATGAGAATTCCCCCCTAAATCCCTGTGAGCCCTCTTTGGCCTTTAGAAGCCTTTAGACCAAAGGGGCTGAACTGAGTGAAGTGTCAGTCCTGGGCTCCTTCACACACACACACACACACACACACACACACACACACACACACAGCCTCCCTGACCTTCCTTCACACACACACGCGCACACACACACACACACACACACACACACACACGCACACAGCCTCCCTGACTTTCCCGTGAGTTCCTGCTAAGCTGGTGTCTTGCAACTCAAGCTGCTACCACATACTACCTTAGGCTAGTTGGCTTAGGCACAGAAATTCGTGGCTCCCACGTCAGGAAGCTGGAAGTCCGAGATTGGGGTGTCAGCGGGGGAGGTTCTGCTGAGGATTCTTCTCCTGACTTACAGCCAGCCGCCTTCCTCATGTGCTCACAGGGCCTTCCTCAGGCACCCAGGCGTGAGAGTGCTTCTGTCTTCCTCTCTAGGAAGGCAACTAATCCTACCCGACTTCATTCAACCTTTATTCTCTCCCAGATGCCTTAGCTCCCAATACAATCACATTTGGTAGTTAGAACTTCCACACATGAATGTAAGGAACTAAGGAACATGTGATTTGATCTCTGTAACACAGAACAAACCAGTTTGCTTCCTACTGTGAATTCCTTTTTTTTTTTAAATTAAACCACACCATGAGATAGCATTCCAAACCTTTCATGTTTGAGTTTCAGTCATACAATGATTGAATACCCATCCCTCCACTAGTGCACGTTTCCCACCACCAATGTTCCCAGTACCCCCCCATCTCCGCTTCTCACCCCTCCCCCTGCCTCTATGGCAATTTCCTTCTTTCTCTCTACTTTTGGGCATTATGGTTTTCAATACAGATACTGAGTAGTCATCGCTCAGGATGGGAAATGTGTGCTGAAAGTAGATAAAGGACCTACTCTGAATTCTTAATGTCTTTTCAAGAATTCCAAAGTGGGCCAGGCGGTGGCTTAGTGGCAGTGCATTTGGCATGCATGTGTGAAGTTCTAGGTTTGAGTTCCCAGGACTGCATGGTCTCCCAAGCATGACCAGGAGCAGCCCCCAAGCACTGAGCCAGGAGTAGATCCTGAGAACAAATGAGTGTGCCCTACCCCCAACACACACACACATACCAAAACAGAAAAAGAATTCAAAATTTTTTTTTCATTAAAAAAAAAATCCACATTTAAAGGGCCCGCTCAGGATGGGAGATGCATGCCAAAAGTAGACTATAGACCAAACATGATGACCATTCAGTACTTGCATTGCAAACCACAACACCCTAAAGGAGAGAGAGAGTGAAGGGAATATGCCCGCCACAGAGGCAGAGGTGGGGAGGGTGGAGGTGAATGGGGGTGAATGGGAGGAATACTGGGAACATTGGTGGTGGAGAATGGGCACTGGTGGAGGGATGGGCACTCGATCATTGTATGACTGAAACGTAAGCACAAAAATTTGTAAGTCTGTAACTGTACCCCACGGTGATCCAATGAAAAAGAAAGAAAGAAAGAAAGAAAGAAAGAAAGAAAGAAAGAAAGAAAGAACACTATCCTGAAACTAGGAATGACTCAAAAGGGAACTGAAAGTCTTTCTGACAGAGCCCAGCCCACTCCACCCCCCGAATGAACCCCAGCACTTTAACTCCTGTTTCCTGACTCAAACACAGCCCAGGGTTTGGAGAAAAGTTCTGGCTCACTGCTCCCTTTATTTGGGGCAGGGGGATGGCCACACTTGGGGATGTGTAGGAGCTACTCCTGACTTTGTGCTCAGGGGCAGCTCAGCAGTATCCAGCAGATTGCGGATGGAATCCAGACCTCCTGAATGCAAAGTATGTGCTCCAGCCTGTTGAGCTATCTCTCCAGTGCTCCTCTCACAGAAAATAGTTTCCTTTGTCAGGGCCCCAGTTACCTGCCATCACCCTACCATGCCTCACTCCCAAATCTGGCTGCCTGCCAGAAGCACAAAAATGCATTATGAATTCAGACCCTGGACTGGAGGAACAGCACAAGGAATAAGGTCCTTGACCTGTATATGGATTACCCTGGTTTGATCCCCAGCACCAGATATGGTTCCCCAAACAGGGGGGGGGGGGAGGAGGAGGAGGAGGAGGAGGAGGAGGAGGAGGAGGAGGAGGAGGAGGAGGAGGAGGGGGAGGAGGGAGAAGAAAACAAAACAAAACAAAACACGGGGCCAGAGAAATAGTACAGTCAGTAGCAAGAAGAGCACTTGTCTTGTGCAAGACCCACCTGGGGTTCAATTCCCAGAACTCCAAGCCCACCAAAGTGATCCCTTAGTGCAGAAACAGGAGTAAGCCCTGAGTATTGCAGAGTGTGGCCCAAAACCAAAAATTTTTTAAGAGAAAAATAATTCATACTCTGAGTGCCAGAAACAAGGTTCAGAAATGCAGTTTGTGCCTCACCTGCGTAAGTGCCTGGGTCTGAGCGCCAACACCTTGGGTTTGTGGTACCATCTGCAAACACCCTGGCCCGGTAGGTAGAAGACTGGCATGAGGAATCTGCCTCGTTGTTGTTTGGGTGCTCAGGCTTCACACCCAGCTTTACTCTTGGGGCTCCTGACAGTGTTTGGGGGACCCAGACCTCCTACACCCAAGACACCCTTTTAGTCTGTTGCACGCTCTCCGGTCCAGGAATCTGTGTTTCTAACAAATGCTGTCAGAGCCCAGGTGAGAGCTCACAGAGCAGGGGAGCCCTTGCTTCGTATGTGGGAGGCCCAGGTTCAGTCTGCGGAACCTCATGGTCTCCAGGGCTGCTGGGAGCGACCGCCAAGCACCAAGCTGGGAGCAGCCCTTGAGCATCACCAATGGGTTCCGGGTTCCCAGGGAGGGCAGCAGAGCGGAGCGCTTTGGGTCCCCCCGACCTGAGTGAGCCGAGAGGGTTCTGCAGCCTTGTTCCCCCAGGAACCCTCTCCCGACACCCCAGGCATCCCTGCCACCAGCCGCCTTTCTCCCCGCAGCGCGGCCCCGGCGGGCGCCCAGACGTTCAGCCTGAAGTACTCGGAGTACGTGCAGGTGGAGGTGGTGTGTGACGGCGAGGCGGAGGAGGTGACCACCAACGGCAAGCAGCGCTGGCCTCTCTCCCCCAGCACCATACTGCGGCTCACCATGCGCCAGGCCAGCACCGAGGCCAGCAGTGATAAGGTACCTGGCGGGGAACCAGCACCTGGGGGTGTGAGTGGGAGGGACTGCGTAGGAGCCGGAAGTGGACATGAGGCAGGCAAGTCAGTCAGCACTGTCCAATAGAGACAGCATGGTCCAGAGGCATCTCCTCTCGTCTATTCACCACATTGGGGGTGGAGGGAAGAGAGAAAACCAAATGAGAGGACTAGAGCAATAGTACAGGGGGGAAGGTGCTTGTCTTACACCTGCAATTGACCCACGTTCAGTCCCTGGCACCCTCATAAGGTCCCCAAGCACCTCCAGGAGTAATTATTTTCTTTTTGGGGGTCACACCCTGCGTTGCGCAGGGATTCCTCCTGGCTCTGCACTCAGGAATTATTCCTAGCAGTGCTCGGGGGGTGCTATGGGATGCTGGGAATCGCTATCGCTCCAGCTTCACCAGGAGTAATTCTTGAGTGCAGAGCTAGGAGTAACCCCTTAGCATAGCCAGATGTGGCCCAAAGCACAATAAACAAATAAGAGTGAAGCGGGACCTGAGGATCACCCTTTAAAAAATAAAAAGAGAAGAATGTGCTATTTTGGAGATAAAATGCTTAAGTTGCATAAGCACACACTTTCAGGAGTACAGAAACAGAAATACAGAGACAGAAATGCAAATGAAATTTTTCTTTATTCATATAAATATTTTTATTAAAGGCTAATTCCACTCAAAAATAAATAAATAATAAAAAGAAAGGAAAAAATAAAACAAGAAAAGGCAAAAAAGTAGGTGAACATATGCTGTCATATTGACATTAATATTGATATTGACATAAAAAGTATGAATACGGTTTTAAAATAGCCTTAAATTAGCTTCCCCTGGGGCTGGAGAGATAGTACAGTGGATAGGACACTTTGCCTTACATACAGCTGACCGGGTTTGATCCCCGGCATCCCATATGATGTCCTCCAAGCATGCCAAGAGTGATCTCTGGAGTGCAGAGCCAGGAATAAATTCTGAACACCACCGGGTAGGGAACAAAAATTAATAAATTTTTAAATAGCCTACTCTTTTTTTTTTGGCTTTTTGGGTCACACCCGGTAATGCTCAGGGGTTATTCCTGGCTCTGCACTCAGGAATTACTCCTGGCAGTGCTGGGGGACCATATGGGATGCCAGGGATCGAACCTAAGTCGGCTGCATGCAAGGCAAGCACCCTACTGGCTGTACTGTCACTCCGGCCCTGCCTCCTCTATTTTCAAACACTGTTACCCTCTTTTCTATCCCAACTGTTCAAGGCATACCTATATTAGAGTCAGATTTCTTGGTTTTTGTTTTTTGGGTTTTTTTTGGGTTTTTTTTTTCTTTTTTGTGTCACACCTGGCAATGCACAGGGGTTACTCTTGATTCATGCACTCAGGTATTACTCCTGGCAGTACTCGGGGGACCATATGGGATGCTGGGAATCAAACCCGGATCAGCTGCGTGCAAGGCAAATGCCCCACCCACTGTGCCATCACTCCAGCCCCTCTTGGGGTTTTTTTTAAGGAGACAATTCAATTATGTGTTTCCAACTTATCTTTTCCTCCTCAGTTGCTAGCAATTTTTGGCACAGAGTAAATTTATCTTGAATCTACAAATCAAAAAGCCTGAGTCAAATTTAAATTGTAAAATTTTTTAAAAAAAGTATGAATGAGCTGGTGAGCACTCACACACTTACTCTACGTCCCGTGGGTGGGTGTCTGCTCCCAGCTCAATGCTGAGAGCATTAAAAAAGCTCCGTGGAGTGCTCGCTTCGGCAGCACATATACTAAAATTGGAACACTACAGAGAAGATTAGCATGGCCCCTGCGCAAAGATGACACTCAAATTCGTGAAGCGTTCCACATTTTTTAAAGTGGCGGGGGGGTGGGTGGGAGGAGGGGTATACTGGGGTTCTTGGTGGTGGAAAATGTGCACTGGTGAAGGGACGGGTGTTTGATCATTGCATGACCGACCGAGACTTGAACTAAAAGGCTTTGTGTCTGTTCTCATGGTGATTCCATTTAAAAAAAAAAAAAGCTTCGTGGAGTTGGCGGGGTGAGGCTCGATTTTCTACATGAGGTGCTAAGCGTTCCCTGTGCTCTACAACCACCATGACTATTGGATAACTCAAGGTCTGACCATGGAACACAGGCTTCAGGGAAGGTTAAGACTGGGAGCTGCTCAGTAGTATAACATTCGGATCGTGGAAGTGGCACCCACCAGCATCTCTGCCGATTCTGTATAAAACAGTGCTCGTATCCTAGCAGGATGTTCTGTTCTATGATATTTCAGAGGCCTCACAGCAGTGTGGCCCTGGGCATTATGCCAAGCAAACAGCCTCCGTCTGGAACCTTGTTTGCTTGGTGGCAAAGCCCTATCCAGCTCAATAAGGGAACCAGATGTGCTCCCCTGAACCTTTTTTTTTCCTTCTTTTCCCCTTTATTTAAACGCTGGTTTACAAAGTGCTCATAATGCATTTGTTACAGACATTCAATATTCCAACACCAGGAGGACACCATGGCAGATATAGGTAGCAGAATGTAATGGGGTGAGGAAAGACGGGGACCAGGTGGATCAGTGTACCCTGAACAGGATTCCCTATCTAGTTCCTAGTCTGGGAGAAGAGGCTCGCCAATCCAAAAGGGCTGCCTGGAGGAGAAGGTTGGACGGGAATTCACTAAACAGACTGTGAGGTGTGAGGCAGGGAGAGTGGTCAGTGCATTGTGATTTGTGATCTCTGCTCTGCTCTCCCCACCAAGGTGACCGTCAGCTACTACGAGAAAGAGGGCAATACCCCCATTGACCGCGCTGGGCTCTTCCTCACAGCCATTGGTGAGTTGGGTGACTGTTGGTTCCTTCGTCCCCGGGGACTGACAGGGCAGCCTTTGGGGGTTGGTTTTCACTACTGTAGACCTGGCATAGGTACTTCCTCTGAATAATTCAGGAGAGAGGCTTCCTGTGCCCAGCCCTCTGTCCTACAGGAGCTGGTGTGTCTTGCTCTGACAGTGTCACCAGGGTCCCCAGTCTCTGGGTTGCAGAGAAGAAAGGTCCATGTGGGTTCTACCCCAGTGCCAGAGAAGAGCTGCCCTGTCCTAGGGGAGAGCCTCCCGCTGCTCTGCCCCTGGCCAGGCTTTCCTTGTCCCCCAATCCTGCGGGCACAGTGGTGCAGCCGGGTTCCTAGCCCAAGCCCTCCAGGTGACACACATGGCCAGATGCTGCCCAGGAGCTGAGAGTCCTTTGAAGTCACACAGTAACTCAGCAGTGAACTGAATCCAGGGCTTAGGACTGGCCCCTCCCAGGGGACATGTAGGGCACGGCCTGCCTGCCCAGGGTGCCAGGCTGGGAGACAGAGCCCCACCCAGCCCAGCAAGGGGACCATATGTGCTCCCCTGAACCTTTCTTTTTCTTTTTTCCCCTTTATTTAAACACTCTGATTTACAAAGTGTTCATGATGTGTTTGTTACAGGCATTCAATATTCCAACACCAATCCCACCACCACTGTCATCTCCCGCCACCATTGTCCCTATATCCCCAACCACCACCACCCCCAGCTTGCCCCCATAGCGGACACAGAATAATTTATCTTCTATTGCTTGTTATAACTAAATGACACTCAAAAAATTCTTCAGTAAAAGAAAATTTGTGACCATTCTTATTTTCTTTTTAATTTTTATTAGTGAAACACCATGAGGTACAGTTGTAGACTTACAACTTTTTGTGCTTGGGTTTCAGTTATACAATGATCAAGTACCCATCCCTCCACCAGTCCCCATTTCCCACCACCACGAATCCCAGTATCCCTCCCATCCCCCATCCCCCCATCCCACCCTGCCTCTGTGGCAGGGCATTCCCTTTTGTTCTCTCTCTCCTTTTGGGTGTTGTGGTCTGCAAAAGAGGCATTGAGTGGCAATCATGTTTGGTCTAGAGTCTACTTTCAGCATGCTTCTCCCATCCTGGGAGGATCCTCCCAACACCCTTTATTTGGTGTTCCCTTCTCTATCTGAGCTGCCTTTTCCCCTAGCGTGTGCGGCTGGCCTCCAAGCCATGGAGGAAAATTTGTGACCGTTCTTATATCTCACCACGGGAACATTAAGTCCTTGTCTGAGGTTTTACTGAGCTGTGGTTGCTAGTTGAGCCTTCTGTGTTAGTGCCTTTGCCTGTTGAGCTTAGTTGGCTTCAGTATTCCTTTCCCATCTAATTTGGTGTGCTCCCACTGGGATATCAGTCTTGTAGTGTTTGGAGGCAGCACAGGCTCACCCGCACCCATGGGAGCAGGAACCCACCCCCCACATCTGGGGGGGCGGGGGAAGCAGAGGTTCTCAGACCGAGGAGTGATCAAGCCAGGAGCAAGCCAGGTGTGGCCCCAAAACCAAAACAGAAGAAGGCAAAAAAAAAAATCCATCCCAGCCTGCACCAAGGCTAGGCCCTTTGACCATCACAGAAGAGAATTCCAGAGAATTGGTCCAGACCAATTCCACGCTGCCTGCATTCTAAGAGAGGAAGCTTAGACTCCTGGGTCTTCATTCAGAGTCTTCTTAGGGCCTTTATTCCTGAAGAACTTTCTCCTGGGGACGGGGGGCGGGGCGGGGCAGGGATACAGCCCAAGGGATGGAGCTGGATGAGTCTAAAGTCAGACTGGTCTTAAGTCGGGCTGGGGTTGCCTTTAGTCTTGAGCCCATGATTGGGGCCAAGGGTTCAAGTCCTGAAGATCCTTCTAAGTTTGTGGCTCCGGACCTTTCTGGCCAAAACCCCACCAGCACCAGCACTACTGCCTACTTCCACCTAGAGGACTCTTCCTCCACGCTGGGCAGTGCAAGGAGGAGGCAGAGGAGGAACAGAGGCCCTGTGTGAGTGCCCACAGTGTGCCAGATGTTTTACGATCATGATCTTGGCTGATTCTCCAAAGACTATCACCATCCCCATTTCACAGATGGGAAAACCAAGGCTCCTGAAAAGCAAAACAAACTAAACCTTGCCTGCGGCCCCGCACCTGGACTGTGGTTTGTGGGATGCCTCGTCATTTCAATTACCTCACGGTCTCTGGGAGTCCTGGAATGCCCCCAGAAAGCCGGGTTCCCAAGCCAGCCCCACCTCTCCCTGTGCTTTTTGCAACCAAACAACAGCACTGCTGTTTTACTTCTTAGCTTACTCCCCACCAGGCCTGACTGCAGGCACTCCGTCCTTGCTGCATGGAGGGAGTGTCCAGTCTTGGGGCAGGGCTCTCAGGACAATCTTTTGGGGGCCTTAGGAAAGGGTGGCCAACGCCTCCTGCAGTGCAGCTGAGGGAAGGCAATGGGTGACCCTCACATGGACAGCACACCCCCAGGCTGTCTCAGATGACCAGAAACCCAACCCCACGGACTCAGGGACACCTGGGGACAAAGAAGGAAGGGCAGCAGCCAAAGGCCTGTCAGAGGAAAGTGGCCCCACCACTGACTCACTGTGAATTCAAGAAATTTCCTCCAGGCAGGCAAGGTGGACAGAGGCCAGCACAGCACTCTGGGAGCAGGGAGCCAGGACTCCTTCCTCTAAAAGGCTCAAGCTGGGTGCTCTAAAGAAGCACCAGGGGCTGGAGCAATAGTACAGTGGGGAGGGCATTTGCCTTGCATGCGGTCGACCCGGGTTCAGTTCCCAGTATCCCATATGGTCTCCTAAGCACCTCCAGGAGTAATTCCTGAGTGCACGAGCCAGGAGTAACCCCTGTGCAACACCAGGTGTGACCCAAAAAGCATATAAATAAATAAAGAAAGAAGCCCCAAAGGGGCAGCAGACCAAATCCCCCAAAAGTTATCAGGTAATGGGGAGTCAGGTGGATGGTCCAGAGAGCAGGACGCTTGCCTTGCTATGTGGCCGACTAAGGTTCAATCCCCAGCACCCCATATGCCCCACCTCCCAGAGTAAGCCCTAAGCACCACTGGGCATGACCCCAAAACAAAACCAGATGGTAAGGTTAGGGGGCCAAAGCGATAGTACAGCTGGTACAGCTCTTGCCTTGTACATGGCTGATCCCAGTTTAATCTCAGCTCCTGATCTGGTCCCCCATGCTCTACCAGGAGTAATCCCTGAGTCCAGAGCCAAGAGTAAGCCTTGAGTACCACCAAATGTGGCCAAAACAGAAAAATGGTTATCAGATAAAGTCCAATGCAGGTGCACAGCCAGGATCATTCTTCTTTCTTGTTTTTTTTTTTTGGGGGGGGGGGGGTTGGAGAGCCCTCCCAGAGGTGCCCAGGATCAAACCTGTGTCTCCTGCATGCAAAGCCTGAGCTATAGCCTTGTGAACCAGCTCTCTGGCCCCAAGCTCCTCCTTTTGCATTTTTTTGTGAAATAATTACTTATTTTGTTGCTATGTATTCTATATACTCTAGAAATTTAGGTTGTATAGGTCAGGAAAATGTCCACATGCACACCCCCACCACCACAAAAACAAGACTGACATCTTTGATGTTTGGCAAAAAAAAGAAAAAAGAATGTTAATACAAATAATTTGTCAGGGCCAGAGAGATAGTCCAGGAGTTAGGTATATATCCCACCTGGGTTTGATTCCCAGCATGCCATAGGGTCCCTGGGACTCCACCAGAAGTGATCTCTGAGCACAGATCCAGTAGTAAACCTGCTGAGTGTAGCCCCAAAGCAAAATAAAATAAATTGTCATCAATTATCACTATCATTTTCACTCTGGGGGGAAGGTAGTGTTTGTTTTTGGATCACACCGGCTGTCTCGAGGATTCCTCCTAGCCTGGTGCTCAGGGATCACTCCTGTCAGTACTCTGGAGACCATGTGGTCCTGGGGATCAAGCCCAGGACTCCCACATGCAATGTTTGCACTTCCCCCGTTGAACTATCTACCTGTCCCTCTTTTCGACTTTTTAACATGAAAAAAGTAGGTGCCTTAATCATAGCCTAAAAAGCAGCCACTTTCAGGGCAGAAATAAAGCTTGAAACACCGCATTCATTGGACTCGCCTTTCCTGTTCTATCAGGAATCCTGGTGAAAGCTTCATCCACCTGGGGACCTGTTGATTTATCTGCTGCCACCAGGCCTATCTTCCCTGGGGAATCTCCCCGGACAGCCCCTGAGCCCCAGTCCTCTGTGATATCTTTCAAGGGCCACACTGTGGTGGCAAGAACAGCCTGAAGACCCCGCAGGGACAAAGCCCCCGCCCCCAGGGTCAGCTCCGAGAACCCATCACCCAGCTGTATTCTGAGAACAGGCAGAGTGACAGGCATCAGAGCGGGACTGAGTTGGTCTTCTGACTCATTCCCCTGCGGGCACCGTGACACATCTACCCTTGGAGCCTCAGTTTCTTCCTGGGGTGCAGAGGGCAGGCGGCACCGGGCTGATAAGGCAGCTCAGCCAGACTGTGACATGAGCTGGCATGAACTCACCCCTGTTCTCTCCTTCCTCCTCAGAGTTGTAGCCCCATGGGAGGGGGCTCCCAGGGAAAGTGGGAGAAATTCCCTGCCCCTCAGTCTCATGGGACTTGGGAACAATCTTAGAGTGCCCTTGGCCAAAATGGGCCCTGACTCTGGGCCCAGCCCAGTTAGAACCAACCGTGGGACAGCCAGGTGCCACAAAGCATCCTTCTGTGACAGCTCAACCCAAGGTTTTGAGGACCATCAAGACTCCAGTCCTGGAGCTGGAGTGATAGTACAATGGGTAGGCGTTTACCTTGCACGCGGCCGACCCGGGTTCAATTCCCAGCATCCCATACGGTCCCCTGAGCACCGGCAGGAGTAATTCCTGAGTGCAAAGCCAGGAGTAACCCCTGTGCATTGCTGGGTATGACCCAAAAAGAAAAAAAGACTCCAGTTCTGGCTCGTGGATAAAGCCCTCCTTGTTGGGGGGTGGGTGGAAAGGCGGGAGGAAGGCAGAGTTCACCTCCTCCCCTGTGGCGCTGGCAGCAGGGGCAGCAAGCATAGGAGTCCTGGAGCTTGTTGGTACCCAAGGATGCCCCCTGGCCCCGTGCTTGGCCGGCTGCCCTCTGTGATGGGGAGGCAGGAGCATCCTTCCCCACCCCATACTGTCTATGGAGCCACATCTTGCCAAAGCTGGGGCTCTGAATCCTGGGGATCTGCCCTCTCAGGGCTCTGCCTTGCTTGAATCTGGTCCCAGTGACATTTCCCATCATTTCCCTACTCCCCTGGGCCACTGGTCCCCCTTGCCGTTCCAGGGGAGCGTGCTGTAGGGTCTGAGTCTGGCTGACGTCCTCTAGCTCCCTAGAGGCAGGTCCAGCCAGCCACACTCCGTCCCTGTCAAGAGACAGAGATAGTGTGCCCCAGACAAAACTCACCCAGTAACGGCCCTGCTGGGTCAGCCTGCCCCTGGAAGGTCATTCTGTGGGAGTGCAGACAGGAAGATGAGTCATGGATCATAAAGGAGAAGTCGTGGGGTTCTTTGGGAGCTGGGAGGCAGGTGATGGGGAAACCCGCTTATACCATCCATACCCCACCCTTCATAACAGGAAGTCAGATGCTCAGGGGGCCATAATGGGTGCCAGGGATCGAACCCGTGTTGGCTGGGTGCAAGTCAAATGCCCTACCCTATCTGCTGTACTCCATTCCCCTAACATACCTGACCCAGGCCAGAAACACAGCCGGGTTCAATCCCGAGCACCACATCTGGTCCCCAGGGTCCTTCAGGAATGATCCCTGAGCACAGAACCTTCAGGAGTCAGCCCTGAGCACTGCTGGCCCCAAAGAGTATTTTTTATTTCATAGGACTAAGAACTAACACTTTGGGAGGGGAACCCAGACTCCCATCACTCACCACTAGGCCTCCTGGTCTCATACAGTGTTAAAAACAGAGTGAAGCTCACCAGGGCTCGCTCGTGGGTGGAATCAGATTGAGGGGCGGCAGGCAGCCACCCACCCCCACCAGGAGGGCACAGAGGTTGGCTCTGGAGTGCTGCCCTGCAGACCTCTACTCTCCTGTCTCTGCCTCAACCCAGAAAAGGCACCGGCAGCAGACACCAGGAAGGAACTGGGCTGTGAGCACAGGAAGACCAGAATGTAATTCCGGACCCACCCAGGCTGCTGAGGTGCTTGGAGAAGGTGGCCTTATCCCTGCTGGTGCCAGGACCCTCCTTCCTGCCCCATCCAGGGCTAGGAAACTCCTGCCAAGGCACTGACCAGGAACATATTCGCTCCCACCTGGCTTCCACCAGCATCCAGGTCATGCTCAGCGCAAGGCTGAGCCCACCTGGGTAGCTCAGGCCCAACACTCTTTATCCAGTGACCCTCCTCCTACTGCCCCGCCCACACCCCTGCCTGCCCTGTTCATCTCTAACTCAGGGGGCACTTCTGCCTGCCTCAGAACATTCAGTAACAGCTGGAGACATTCTGTGCTCAGGACTGAGAGACCAGGGAGGCGGCCATACCCCTGCAGTGCACTGGGCAGCCCCTGGCACAGGGAATCATCCAGTACAAAATGGCCACCGGCCTGCTCTTACCATGAACAAAACTCACTAACTGCAAAGGACCCCACTCTGCAGGGAAAGAAGCTGACTCAGGGTGGCTGGAGCAAAAGTGTAGCAGGTAGGGCATTTGCCTTGCATGCAGCCGACCCGGTTCAATCCCGGCATCCCATATAGTCCCTGAGCACCACCAGGACTAATTCCAGAATGCAGAGCCAGGAGTAACCCCTGAGAATCTCCAGGTGTGACCCAAAAAGCAAAGGAAGAAAGAAGAAGGAAGGAAGGAAGGAAGGAAGGAAGGAAGGAAGGAAGGAAAGAAAGAAAGAAAGAAAGAAAGAAAGAAAGAAAGAAAGAAAAAAGAGGCTGTTTCAGAGTATTTGCTAAAGTTACAGAGCTTATACACTGAGAATCCGGGTTTAAGGTTTATAAAAGTGTCTGATATTAAATCTGAGTTTCATTTCACTGCCCACCATGCCCCAGAGGAGACCTAGAGATCCTTAAGGTCCCTTCCCCAAGAAACAAGGTATGTGGGAGCCCCACACTCCTGCCCCCTATCTGGCAGACATCCTCTGTCTGACAGACATCTGCAGGTCAAGAAGGCCTGGAGACTCAGTTTACCCTCTAAAGGGAAATCTTCAGTCCTGAAAGGCAGGGTTCTAGAAGAGGAACTTCTTACTTTTTTTTTCCCCATTCATGATCCTTTTCGCCAGAAAAGTGCAACATGAGCAAGCACTGGCGAAATACCATGGATTCCTCATGCGGCTGATTTTTAATTAACTTTTGGTTGTTATCTTTGAGTGTTGCCAAGTGACACCCCCACACTCAGTTCGCAGCCCTGTCCCACAGTAGGAAGCTGGGCTTAGGGACCAGGGAGAGTTCTGTGGGCTGAGCACATGGTGTAGTTTGTTTTATTTTGGATCCACACCTGGCTCAGGGCTTCCTTCCGGCTCTGTGCTTAGGGATCACTCCTGGCAAGCTTGGGAGGTCATATGTGGTGCCTGAGATCAAACTCGGGCCGACCACGTTCAAGACTAATAACACCCTACTTGCTGTATGATCTCTCCAGCCCTTAAACACATGCTTTGCATACAAAAAAAAAAAAAGGTTAAAAACACTGGCCTAAAGCACTGAGAGTAATCTGCAAGAGACACGCATGTGTGCAAACACACCTGCCCCCACAAACCCAACGCAGGCCAGGAAAGGAGCTGGCGTCCTCCTAGGCACGAGGTCTTTCAAATTAGGTGCTTCTGGGGCTGGAGAAATAGAGAGGACAGCAGGTCCAGCTCTTGCCTTGCACACACTTTCTACCCTGCTGCAGGGGACTTGGAAGCAGCTCCAGCCAGAGCAGGGGCTCTCCCTTCTGCTGCCCTGCATGGTCACCCTGTTGACCTGGGCCAGGCCTCAGTGCCTCTGGGGCCCCCCAAGGCCCCACAGACCCTGCCTACTTCTCTACCTTCTCCACACCCTCCACGGCAGCCTTTCTGCTCCCCAAAAACTCTGAGCTCTTGCCTTGCACACACTTTCAATACCGAGTGTCACCTACAGTCCCCTGGATCCTCCAAGAGTGATCTCTGAGCACAGGAGTAAGCCCTGAGCACTTCCAGGTGGTGTGGCCCCAAAACCGAAAGCACAAACAAAAAAATTAGGAGTTTCAAATCAGGCTCATTCTGAATGTCACTGACGTGAATGAATGCATGGGACTCAGTCTCTCTGAAGTGAGGTACTCAGATCTGTACAACAAACCCCACCCTATCCCCTGCAACCACAGAGAATGGACGGGGGAAGTGTGAGCAGCAGGAGACCCCTTGCTTATCCCTGGGAGCCTCTGAGTGTGTGCAGCCCCGGCACATGCGCCTTCGTGTGGGGCGAGGGCAGGCAGGGGTTGGAGAAATGTGCCCAGAGGATCCTCCCTGAGACCAAGAACCTGAGAGAGTCCCCCTCTTGCCCCAAGTCCTGCCTCCCCATGCCACTCAGCCATGTGTCTGTCCCCCAGAGATCTCCCTGGACGTGGATGCAGACCGGGACGGCGTGGTGGAAAAGAACAACCCACAGAAGGTACCTCGCGACTAGGGTGGATCTGGAGGTTCTGGGGGTAGAATCTGCAAGCGGCCAAATCCGTAGTCCAGGCAGCACCCATTTTCCAGAGAGGAGCAGCCTGACATCATGGTAAGGGAAGTCAGAGGGTGAAGGACATGCATGAAGAACAAAACAGAACAGGCAGTGTGGAATGAGGACAAACCCTTGGACTTGGATTGCAAAACAGATTACTAAGCAGGGAGGAGAGAAGAGGTGAGTTAAGGGTGGCACGAGGACAGAGCTGGGGAAAATGGGGCTCTTGGTGGTTGAGTACAGTAACTTTGCTCATCAGAACCATGACAGCTGGGGCTGAAGTCCTAGTCCAGCAGATAGGCGCGTGCCTTTCATGGGGCTGATCCGGATTTGGCCTACAGCATCCCTCTGGTCTCCTGAGCCTGCCAAGAGTGATCCCTGAGCACAGAAGCAAAAGGAAGCCCTAAGCATCACCAGAGAGGTTTTTTTTTTTGCCCCCCCCCCACAAAGAAAAATGACAGTTGACCCTATTGTAGCCATAGCGGTAGTACAGTGGGAAGGGTGTTTGCCTTGCATGCAGCCGACCCGGGTTCGATTCCTCCATCCCTCTTGGAAAGCCCGACAAGCTACTGAGTATCCCGCCCGCACGACAGAGCCTGGCAAGCTCCCCGTGGCATATTCGATATGCCAAAAATAGTAACAAGTCTCACAATGGAAACGTTACTGGTGCCCGCTCAAGCAAATCGATGAACAACGGGAAGACAGGACACTATTGTAATCTTGTTATCTAAAGTGCAATTAAAGAAAAAAAAAGCACTTTAAAGAAGAAAAAAATAAATAAATAAAGCTTTAGTGAAGGACTGTCCAAAACCAGAAAGGCCTGAGATAAGTTCTGACACCAGTTACCCCATTCATCAGATGGGCACACCCGTCTGGCAGAGCGGCTACAAGAAACTTCCTGCCACCCAGGAAGTGCCTCGAGGCATTTGCACTTACTGTCTTGCTTCTTTTCTTGTGATTTCACACCTCACCTGAGCCATTTCTCACCACCCTCAGCTCAGGTGTGTCCCCAGTGACCTGCATGCTCTGTCTGCTTATACCTCTATGCGCTCAGCCATTCATTGAGTCTCAGACCCTGCATTTCCCCGCTGCTATCTCTGGTTTCCCAGTCATGGCCTTCATGTGGTTCCTGCTTCTGCCTCCCTGTGCTCCGCCTGCATTTTTGATTTGTGCACTGTGTTCTCCTTTTCCTCCTGCTCTCTGCTTCTCCCTCTCCCAGTTGGTAACCTATTGGCTGGCTGGAGGCCAGCTGGGCTGCTGTCTCTGGTTTCCCTGTTCTGCCCTTCTTCATCTTGTGAAATGTTGCCGTGGGCATGTTCTAGAAGAATCACCTAAAGCTTAGAAATGTGTGGATATCTCCATATAGCCAAAACCCTCTCCACACTAACAAAGGAATCAGGGTGGTCTCAGGCCTATTGGGGAGCCCCTTCCCCCAGCCCTGCCCTTCTCAAGCATCCCCTACAGGAGCACAGCCCTGCACAAGTGTCCCTGGCTCATGACTATGGACCCCAAAGGGACCCCAACTCCTCCAACTTCCCCTGAGAGCCTCTTCAGTTTCAGTCTCTATGGTCCTGAATTTGTGCCTGGGGAGCAGAGGGTCCTAGGTCCAGTTTCCCTTCTATGAAAAAAAAAACTAATGCATCCCCCCCATAAATTTACCTTCTTTCAACCAACAAACAGGAAGTCCCCTCCCCACCTCAATGGCACCTGAGGCTATACCTGTTCCCCCTGGGCCATTCCAGCACCCACACCCCCAGTCACCCACTTAGGGAAATTTCTGATCTGGAGGCATCCCCCAGACTTCATTCCCCTCATGTACCCCATGACTAGTACCTGAGTGTCTTCAAACTCAGGACTAGGTGAGGTCCTAGGGATTCAGCAAGAACAAGAGAAAGGCAGTTCCTGCCCTCAGAGAGCGCCCAGTCCGATAGGAGGATGGGGGTCCCATGGAATAGAGTGCCTGAGGCGTTATTGCATTGCCCCACCCCCAGCTTATGGTCCCCCAGTGCAGACCCAGGAACAGTGCGCTGGTATAGAGAATCAGAACATCTTCTCCGCAGGAGGGTGTGGGCTGCCGCCAGCATGTCAGGAGCTGAGAGTGGGGTGGGGTCCCCAGGCAAGCTGTCCAGGCAGCAAGCCCTGCAGGCCCATGAGCTCAGAGTTTTTGGGGAGCAGAAAGGCTGCCGTGGAGGATGTGGAGAAGGTGGAGAAGTTGGCAGGGTCTGCGGGACCTTGGTGGGAAGGGGGGCCAGGAGACACTGAGGTCTGGCCCAGCTCAACAGAGTGACAGTGCAGGGCAGCAGAAGGAAGAGCCCCTGCTCTGGCTGGAGCTGCTTCCAAGTCCCCTGCAGCGGGGTAGAAAGTGGATCCCCTCAGGACCACTCAGCGTGTCTGGAAACAGGGGTGTCTGTCTATCCAAGGGTCTGTCTAAGCATCCCCCAAAACTCTTCTGGGGACTTCCGAGCCTGTCCCAGCATGTCTGCCTGCATGTCTCTCTGGGTGTCCTTGTCTCCTGCCTCCAGGTCAGGCCACCAAGCCCAGAGAGTCCCGGGTGCCCTGGCCAGCCTGTCTCCCATCTCTCGGGGCGTCATTTGCTTTGGGGCAGTAGGTGAGGAATCTGTGTCTGCCCAGGCCCCAGTGGGTGACGCCTGCCTGCTATGTCCTCTCATCTCGGTGGGGCTGCCTGGGGGACCCTCTCTGCCCACAGGTGAAGAAGAAGGCCCTGACCTCTCTCCCTGCCCACACAGGCCTCCTGGACATGGGGCCCCAAAGGCCAGGGCGCCATCCTGCTGGTGAACTGTGACCGGGACACACCTTGGCTACCCAGGGAGGACTGCAGTGACGAGAAGGTCTACAGCAAGGAAGGTACTCACAGGACCCACCCTTGGAAATCACTCCTGGCAGGGCCCTGTGGGGTGCTAGGGACCAAACCCAGGTTAGCTGTGTGCACGGAAAGCATGCTATCCACTGTGCTACTGGTCCAGCCTGCCATGCCGGGCTCAAGCCATAAAGCACGTGCTTAGCCAGTTGAACTCTCCTTCCAGGCCAGCTATGGTTTGGTTTGGTTTGGTCTTCCTGTATGTTACACATGCACACGAAAAGACCCATGGTTTGGAGATAGAGCCCAGAAGTAAGGCCCTTGTCTTGCATGTAGCTGCTTTGGCCATGACCTGGTTCTGGCCACTGGAAATATGTCTGGTTCCCCCCACGCACCGACCAACAGGGCTCACTCCTGAACACAGAGCCAGGAGTCACTTCTGATCACTGCTGGGGGTGGTCCAAACCCCACACTCCCCACCAGATGAAAAAGGAAAGGAAATCAATCAAAAGAGAATCCCCAAGAGGTGATGGCGGGGAGGGTCTTCTGTGGTGTGGAAGATGAAGACAAGGTTTGCATGCTCCTGGTTTGCCGTTATCTTCGGTTTGGGGGCCACACCTGGCAGTGCTTGGATGTGGCACCTGGTGGTGCTGGGAAGACTGAATCCAGACCTCCTGTATACAAAGGATGAGCTTTCTAGTCACTGAAGCTCTCTCCGGACTCTCCCCGATTTTCTATTGTTTTGGTTTTGGCAGTGCTCAGGGGTTACTCCTGGCTCTGCAGTCAGGAATTACTCCTGGTGGTGCTCATGGGACCATATGGGATGCCAGGGATCGAACCAGTTGGCTGAATGCAAGGCAGACCGCCTACCTGCTGTACTATTGCTCCAGCCACTCGATGATTTTTCTATAAAAACCTCCATGATATACAGGTGGGGTTTTCCTGGCCCCAAAGTTGAACATAGCCAACACCCCACAACAAGCCTCTCACTTCTCATTTCTCATGTGTCTGCCCTTCAGACCTCAAGGACATGTCCCAGATGATCCTCCGGACCAAAGGCCCAGAGCGTCTACCTGCCGGCTATGAGATCGTCCTCTACATTTCCATGTCAGACTCGGACAAAGTAGGGGTATTCTACGTGGAAAGTGAGTGACCACCACCTGTTGGGTAGCACCGATGCATTCAGTGCTCATGAGTCCCCGCCTAGGCCCAGTTCTGCCCTGGGGCTCTCCAGGTCTATCCCTTAGCAGCTGTGGTCCCCAAGGTACAGGTGAGAACCAGGGCCAGTCTTGGGGTGACCAGGAACACTGCCTGTCCGTGAGGTTCCAGGGCCCCAAAGAGTCTGCAGTAGCAATGTGGAGGCCAGGGACCCTTGTGGATCGGGTCAGGGTGGGAGTGGGGGTGGGAATTCACCTTCCTGGAGTCCTTTCCCCTGCCCCAGAGCTGAGTAGGATGTTTCTGTCCCCTTCAGGCCCTGTGGGCTGAGAACCGCCTCCAGCTTTAGTGATTTAGAGGCTTATAGCTCAAGTCCAGGCGTCGCTATGAGCAACAGGTCATTTGTCACAGTGTCACACCTCCAAGTTTCAGTCAAGGTGCAGAGCAGGTGGAGGTGCTGCCTGTTCCCCTCCTGGCTTCAGGTAGCCCCCCACCCACATGCAGACCTGGTCTGGGGAGTGGGGGTGGGCCTAGACCGTCCCTGGAGCAGCAGCAGTGTCAGTTCAAGGACCTGCCTCTTTACTCCTTTGTTTCAGGGTGGGGGTGCACACCTGGAGGTGCTCAGGGCTTCCTTCTGGCTCTGTACCCAGGACTCACTCAGACATGCCCTACCCACTGTGCTCTCTCTCCCCTTTACTCCTCTTGATGGGGACACGCTTCACCCCAAGCAAGTGCTTGGGGCCGCCTGCCCTATCTTCTTCCTTCTCTGCCGAGCCAGGCTCTGGGGTCCCTAGAGTGAACTCAGACATCACCTCCTGCCCTTGGAAGAGGGGTCTGGGAGGGAGAAATGGTGGCCAACATCCCAGAGAATAGGACAAACCCAGTGAATAGAGACAGGCAGGGGGGCAGAGGCAGGCAGGGCTCGTCGGGCACATGCTCCTGATGATGGGCTGCTCTTCAGGGGTTGATGTCTGAGCTGAGACCCAAAGCAGCCTGCAGCAGCCAGCTGTTCTGTCGCTAAGAGCAGAGTGTGCTCTGCAGGGAGAACATGGACGCAGAGCAGAGCAGAGAAGAGCAGGGGGTACCAGGCCGGGTGGCAGAGGTACTGGACGCAGAGCAAGAAGGATAGAGGGTGTGTTGGAGTCAAGGTCAGTGACCGGGGCAGGGGCCAGAGCCTGTGGTGAGACTTGGGTTTATTCTGGGTGCTGTGGGACACCGTTGGCAGGGCTGCAGCCAGGGACTGTCTAAGATCTGATTTATGTATTCAAAAGCTTTCTCAGCAAAATAGCTTTGCAGTGTGCCACGGGGCCAGGAGGGGCTTCTGCTGACAGCCCAGCTCGCGGGGAGGAGTGGGTGGGGAGCCAGGACTTCTGGCCTTGCTCAGGGCCACCTCCGGACAGGTTAGGGAGTTGGTCATGGGGCCCCTGGGCCCTCACCTCGAGGAGTAAGCTAATATGGACAGCAGGAAGGAGCCGCCATGCACAGCACACCTTCCTTTGGCTCCATCCTGGGCTCGGGAATAACCACAGCCAGGCTGGAATGTCCCCAGAGCTGCCCCAGGGGGCCGAGATGTTGATGTTTACCCCGCCTGCCTGGGCCAGGGTTGCCACGGGGTTGGGGCTGCCAGCCCGGGGAGGGAGGGTCAGGCAGGAACTCCACCTGCACTCCTGGACCTGGACTGAGACATCGTGACCAGTGACCAGTGCAACAGGGATGCCTGGAACGCAGCCGGTATATTCTTCTGTTGGGGGGTGTGGGTTGAGATCTGGATCTCCGTCTCCTCCTCCCCGCCCCTGCCGTTTGAGACACTGTCCCCATCTTTTTCCTCTGCCATCCTGCGGGGATGCTTCACTGATGCTGAGGTGACCCCCGGAGAGTCCGTTTCCCATAAAACATGGGTTCCTGGGGGCACACGCCACCACACTGTAGAGCAGGATAAACAGCAGCCAGTCTGGGATGAGAGAGACAAAACAGAGGCTAAGGCACTTACCCTGCATGGGACTGACTCAGGTTCAATCCCCAGCAGTACCTGGTCCTCCCTGAGCACTGCCAGGATGGACCCCTGCCCCCAAGCACAGAAAAAAAAAATCAGTCTGGGGCATAACTTCCTTTCCTTCTCTGTGAACATGTTAGTTTTGGGGTTTTGTTTTTGAAAAATCTGAGCACTCCTGTGAATGAAACGGGACACGTGTTGTGTTCCGTGAATGTCCTGTGTCGCCGGTGACCAAGGACAGAGGGTTGGGCTGGCGGTGGAAGGACCTTGAGTGGGAGCTTTGTAGCCCAGCAGACTCGCCTGCTGCCCTCTGGGAACTCATCTGGACAGTGATGCAGGGAGAACGGGAAGCCCATCCCTCACCACCAACAAGGGGGTGCTTGGAGGGATGTGTCGGTGTGCGACCTTGTGGCCAGCCTGGGGCATGAGTTCTACAAATGCCTTTGCAGAGACGCTGATGACGGGGGAGCATCGTAACCACTGGAGTGAAAAGTCAGGTGCTGTTAGAACAAGCCTGATAGCTATATGCTTACCTCAAACGAACCCCAGCAACCTCCCCCACTCCCCCCCACCCCAGAGCCTGAGCTCCTCCTCTGTGGACTGGCTGGTCCCCATATCCCCAGACTTTCTTGGGTTTAGCTTCAAAGATCCCTCATCCCTTGAAACCCCTCCATCCTAGACGAATCAGGATGGGTACACACAGGATTTAGAGCATTCCTTGGGAGGTAGAACAGCTGCAGTGACCAGATAGAGGGTTTATCTCAAACCTCACCCATGCGAGCCAGCAGGGCCAGTGCCTGGGGCTGAGGAGAGATCCGGCAGGACTGGTGGGCTCAGTCTGAGGCACGTGGGCCCCTCCATAGAGGGGCATTGTTGGTTCCTGCAGGGAGAGCCGTCCCTACCCAGGCAGGCCTGCACCCAGCTGGGGACAGGCACTGGGCAGGCGGCTCCGAGGACAAAGGCTGGATTGTTTCTCCAAGAGTCCGGCTGCCTGGAGCTGGCCGGAACTGCCAGAAAGGGCCTAGAAGGAGGCACGGGGGCTGGGTCCCAGAGCCCAGGAGAGAGAGTATGTGACTGTCACCTGTCACATGAGACTCCAAGAACCCTAAAGAGTAAGTCCTGAGCTTCCTCCTTGTGGTTCTGAGCAACTATTTGTGGCCCCCAAAAGAAAAGTAAACATCATGAATATTTCAGTACGAGGCTCATGGACCCGTTCAGTCTCTGAACGAACGGATAGCGGCAGTATCCGGCCCTGCCCTAGTTCCACACTCACCCTGGCTACTCCGTTTACTCATCATGGAGGCTGGAGCTGTGTGTCATTGCATCTGTGACCCGGTGGCCTAGCTCTGATTACGCCCCGTCCCCTGTTCACAGACAAGGAAACTGAGGCTCTGGAGGATGAGTGAAAGTCCCGGAGGTCTCAGGCTCATGAAACCAAGGCGTCTTAGAGCCCTGGGGTCTCTGACTCTGGATGTCGTGACTGCAGCAGCCCCTACGCCCGGCATGATAACGCCAGGGCCTGGTTGAGCCCATTGTCCAGTGTGAGGAACTGTCCTGAAGGGAGGCCCAGGGGGCCCTCTGCTCAGTGCGCAGGGGTGACTCCAGCGCCTTCCTGAGGTGGTGTGTTCTGACCTGGCGTGCCGGTCACTCGCCGTCTCTGCTGCTGGGACGATCCTGAACTGAGCCTGGTTCTGCCCTTCCAGCTCCGCAGGGCATAAAGAAACTCCTTCTGGAACTGCGTAGGGTCCTACCTCCATGGCTTTGCCGATGCAAGTATCTCACCCCTCCCTGCCCTGCTCACCTTGGCCACCCCAAAGGCTTCCCTCCCCTGCTCAAATGCCTCCCACTCAGGGGGCAGAGAGGGAGTACAGGAGTCAGGGTGCACGCATCTTGTACACCCAGACCTGGGTTCCATCACCAGCACCGCTGCATCCTGAGGCCCTCACAGTAGACCACCTGCCCCATTCATTGGCTGAGTGTCACCGAAAGTGACTTCCCTCCCCAGCCTCCTGAGCTCTGCTTGTTAACCTCCCCAGACTCGCTTCCTACGCTGCCACCCCTCCCAGGTAACCAAATTCCAGCCCCAGCCCTAACTCAGCAACCCTCTGCCTTTGTGACTCACCCCACCTCCTTTCTTTCTTTCTTTTTTTTTTTGGTAGGATTGGGGGTTGGGGGTTGTTCGGCCACACCCAGCCATGCTTAGAGCTGACTCCTGGCTCTGTGCTCAATGACCACTCCTGCTGGGGCTTAGGGGACCCTATCGGGTACCAAGGATTGAACCCAGGTGAGCCACGCGTGAGGCAAGTGCCCTACACCCTGTACCATCTCTCCAGCCCCTCTCCCCGCTGTCTTAGCCTGGGCTGAGCTGCAGCATCTTACTGACCTGACCTGCTGCATCTTACTCCACTGTCCCCCACAGGCGCTGGTCTGTGCTGGCCACAGGGCTGCCCCCTGACCTCTGCTCTCAGAATCCCAGTGTCCACTTGGCCTCTCCCGTGGGCACTGAGGGACGAGCCACTAACCCCCTCAGTGGACCCAATGCACAGGACTGCCTCTGCCTGAGGCAGAGGGGGCACAGCTGGACCCTGACTGTGCATCTGGAAAGAGGAGGGAGCACAGTGGGCACCGCGGGAACTCCGAATCAGAGATCAGACTTGGTTGGGGGTGGGCAGGGGTAGAGGTCTTAGGCAGGATTCCCAGCGGCAATGCAAACCCTGGAGGGGGGAAAGGTGGAGACTTGCTGTGAGCAGAAGGCAGTGGCCTTCCATGGCGGAAGCTGCCAGTGGGCCTGGAGCTGGAAGAAAGCTGCGTGCCCTGCAGTGCTGGAACACACCCCCAAAAGCCCACGTGTGGGGCCTTCTGCCATTGTGGCTTCCATTACAAGGAGGGACGCTGGGGGTCCACAGGGCCACATCGATATTTGATTTATATGAAAGGGAAGGGACCTGGGAGGTTAGAATTAGAAGTGGATTTAAGGCCCAGCTCAGCCCTGACAGAGTCTGTGACCTCAGACAAGCTTTTTCTCCTTTCTGAGGCTCGGTTTCCACATCTATAAAATGGGAATTCAGGCCAGGAAGACAGTAGGGCATGTGCCTCACATGTGCCTGACCCAGATTTGATCCCTCAGCATCACAGATGTCACCCAGGAGGTCCCCGCCCCACCGGAATGGCCCTGGTAAGCCCTGGCAAACAGGGCCCGGGCAGCAATGGATCCTCCAGCCCACACATGGAACCACTGGTCCAGTTAACAGAGAACCACCAGGAGCGACACCCAGGCCCTCTGAGCATTGCTTGGGAGAGCCAAAAAAGGAAAAGAAAATGGACAATAAACAATAGTGTTCCTGGGGCTGGAGCAATAGCACAGCAGGTAGGGCGTTTGCCTTGCACGCAGCCAACCCAGGTTCAATTCCCAGCATCCCATATGGTCCCCTGAGCACTGCCAGGGGTGATTCCTGAGTACAGGGCCAGGAGTAACCCCTGTGCGTCGCCAGGTGTGACCCAAAAAGCAACAAAAAAAATAGTGTTCCCCAATGACATTGCTGCTCAGACACCAGCTCCAGTACCGAGTGGGTTGGATCTTCCATCTGTTTTTTTTTTTTTGGAGGGGGGCCCACATCATGCAGTGCTCAGCTCTGCACTCAAGGATCTCACCTAGCAGGCTCGGGGGCCATATGGGGTGCCGGGGATCAAACCCAGGTCAGCTGTGTGCAAGGCAGCACCCTGTCCTCTGTTCTATTGCTCCAGCCACGTCTGCTTATTTTACAGATGAGGAAGCCGAGGGCCACAGGGCCTTGTGGTCCTTCCTTCCCTCCCAGTGCAGCGAGGCCCCAGATGAGGACCAGCCTTGACCCCTCCACAGCTCTTTCCTGCTAGTGCTTTCCTTTGTCCTGCGTCCAGAGCGCGAGCAACCCCTCCCTCTCATACCCTACTCGGTCCCTAACCTCCTCCTACCTCAGCCTGATGGGGGTCCTTCTCCCCCCAGACCCATTCTTCGGCCAGCGTTATATTCACATCCTGGGCCGCAAGAAGCTCTACCACGTGGTCAAGTACACAGGCGGCTCCGCGGAGCTGCTGTTCTTCGTGGAGGGCCTGCACTTCCCCGACGAGGGCTTCCCGGGCCTGGTCTCCATCCACGTCAGCCTGCTGGAGTACACGGCCGAGGTGAGGCTCCTTCCCATGGGCTTCTCTGGGGAGCTCCGGCTATGCTCCCCGCCCCTCGAAGCCTGGAGCCAGGGGGTGGAGCCTGAGGCACCCCCAGCTAAGCTACACCTGCTCCCCACAATTCCCTGCCTGGTCTCTGTGGATGTCCCAAGCCAGCCCTGGGCTCTGCCTCTCTGCCCTGGGGGGAATTTAGTGCTGAGGTACGAGGTCCCATATAGCATCAGGGGTGAACAAAGACACCCCTGTGAGGTTTACTGATTACCCTGGTACCCTCTTATCCCACCACCACAAACCCCAACATCGGGCCTCAGCCCCAAATCTCAGCATCCCCACCGGGCTACGCCACGCTCCGAGGTGCCACATCTCCCCCACCTTTGCTCTCCATTTTAAGGATCTCAATGAGAAAGAGTCTGAACCCGGGGCTGGAGCAATAGTTCAGCAGGTAGGGTGTTTGCCTTGCACGCAGCTGACTCTGGCTCAATTCCTGGTATCCCATATCTCATATGGCCCCCTGAGCATCACCAGGTGTGACCTAAAAAGCAGGCAGGCAGGCAGGCAGGCAGGCAGGCAGGCAGGCAGGCAGGAAGGAAGGAAGGAAGGAAGGAAGGAAGGAAGGAAGGAGAAAGTAAGAAAGAAAGAAAGAAAGAAAGAAAGAGAGAGAGAGAGAGAGAGAGAGAGAGAGAAAGAAAGAAAGAAAGAAAGAAAGAAAGAAAGAAAGAAAGAAAGAAAGAAAGAACCCCTAGAAGAGATGCCTCCTCACTTTGGGGGTGTCCTGCAGGCGGGATCCTCTTTCTTCAGACTGCTGCCTGGAGTGTGACCTGCCCTTTTCTCAGATATAAGGAGGGATCTGGCTGCCCTCAGGCTAAGGGAACTAGTCTCAGGGCCCTGTGCATTCTCCCCTGGGCCTCTCACCAAGGCCATTCTGGATCTGGCTTCGGTCCATGAGGACGGGCTCTGGGTTCAGATGCAGCTTCGAGTCCATGAGCCATCAGACTAGTGAACTCACTGCAGGTGCCTTAGTTTCCCCATCCCTGAAGCTGGTGATTAAAGACCCTGTCTTCCATGGTGTTCATAAGCACTCAAACGAGTGCAGAACTACTTACAAGGGCTGGAGATGGTGCTCAGGGGTAGAGCACTTGCCTCACGTGTGTGAGACCCCCTGTTTGAGCCCCCCACTGCAGAAACAGCAGTCCCTGGGAGGAGGGAAAGGCATCAACAGGAGGGATGGTGAGGGGGCTTTCCTGCTCCCCTGGTTGCCCAGGACAGCCTGGCCATCCAGTTCTCTCAGACTTGCCCCTCTTGATTGGGCACCAGAAAGCTCTCAAAAGGCAGCCTCAGGCCGGAGAGGTCAGCCAGGCCAACAGGCCCTTCTACTTCCTCCCTCCAAGGGCAGTTCCCAGAGTATAGCTCAGTTTCCCTCCGGCTGCCAGGCGTGTTTCCTAAACCCGTCCTTAAAATGACCATCCAGACAGCAAAATTCCCCCAAGCAACGTGAAATTTCTCAGAGAGAGTAAAGGATCAGGTGCCCAGAGCAAAATCAGCACCAGGCTGGGGCCTGCTCAGGCCTCGTGTGCATCACTGGAGTCATTTCAGAATGGAGAGCAAGGGATAGGACAGCAGGTAGGCATGCCACTGGCCTGCGTTCGGTCCCCAGAAAGCCATGTCATCCCTGGAGCAATGCCAGGAGTAACTCCTGAATTCAGAGCCAGGAGTAAGTCCCCCCAAAAATAAAAACAAAAAGGAAGAGAACAGAGATGGGACAGATCAGGTGGTGACCAGGCTCGTGTGCTGGGCAGCTAGACCATCCACCAACCATGTGAATATCAGATGACAGGTCTGTCACATGGGTCTGTGACTCAGCTTCCTCATCTGTAATGTTTCCGGCCGCCTCCTGGGGTGGTTGTGAGGTTCCTGGAGTTCTCCTTGCCCCCATGCAGTCCCCGTTCACAGTAAGCCTCATCAGTGCTCTCTTATCAGTTTCACCTGCATTCGGAGGCAGGCAGTGATAGTACAGCAGGTATGGAGGTTGCCTTGCATATGGCCAACCCAGGTTCAATCCCCATCATCCCATATGGTCCCCTGAGCGCACCAGTAGTAATTCCTGAGCACAAAGCAAGCCAGGAGTAACCCCGTATGTCACCAAGTGTGGCCCAAAAGCCAAAAAGAAGAAGACAAGAGGGAAAGGCACCCTGAGAAGATTTTGTGAGCCTCTCCCCTTGTCTCTCTTGCCCAGGAAATTCCCTTGACACCCATCTTCACGGACACTGTGACGTTCCGGATTGCTCCATGGATCATGACCCCCAACATCCTGCCTCCAGTGTCGGTGTTTGTGTGCTGGTAAGGAGTGGCCATGGCACAGAGAAGGAGCATGCTGGGGTGATCATGAGCTGGGCTGTCAGAGGCAGAAGGATCCGAGTGGGGGTCCCAGCATGGCCACTTACACCCCATGCAGCTCTGGATGCCTCTCTTGGCTTCTCTGTGCCTCTATGTCTCAGAAATGCTGACTTTCTAGTTGTTGCGAAGGTGATAGGAGATGAAGCTAGGGCCTGGCTCAGAGTCTACCCTCTAAAAATAACTACTGGTTCTTGTCTCATTCGTGGCCTGATTCCCTGTGGAGAGTCAGTGCTCATTCATTCAGCAGTATTCCCGGGAGCACTCTGCACTGGGCAGCTGCAGCAAGATAAAAAAAAAAAAGGAAAGAAAGAAAAAAAAAGAAAAGAAAGAAAGAAAGAAAGAAAGAAAGGAAAAAAAGAAAAATGCAGAAGCTGGCCAGAGTGACAGTACAGCAAGTAGAGTGTTTGCCTTGCACGTGGCCAACCCAAGTTCAATCCCCGGCAACCCATATGGTCCCCCAAGCACCACCAGGAGTAATTCCTGAGTGCAGAGCCAGGAGTAACCCCTGAGCATTGCTGGGTGTAATCCAAAAGGTAAAAGGAAAAAAATGCAGGAGAAAGGAAGAGCCAGAGAGATAACTGAATGGGCTGGAGCATATGTTTTACATTTCAGGATGCCCAGGCTTGATCCCCGATATTACCTAGTCCCCCACACTACCCAGAGTGACCCCCAAATTCAGAGTAGGAGAAGTCCTCAGCATGACTAGGTGGGACCCAAAACAGGATGTAGGGGTCTCTGAGGTCCTGGACCGTCCTCTGCCTCCATACACATCATAACTCTTCCCTGAGAATCTGGAGAGTCAGTGGGATGGGGGTGGGGTGGTTATTGGGCATGTGTGGGGGTATCAGCCCTCTGTGCATTTGGTCATGGTCTTGACAAACACATGTAGCAGGTGACTTGAACTCCTGTAGCATTTGCAAAGATAAGCCTGGGTCAGAGGACCTTCCCCTGCCCAGTAAGTCCAGAGGGGCCAGTGATGATAGCCATTGCAAGGTGACTGGCCCTAGTCCCTCCTCACCCTTCCTCCCTGCACCCCCCTTCTGTCCCCCAACTCCTCAGTGTGAAGGACAATTACCTGTTCCTGAAAGAGCTCAAGAGCCTCGTGGAGAAAACCAAATGTGAACTGAAGGTCTGTTTCCAGTATGTGAACAGAGGCGACCGCTGGATACAGGTGAGCCACTCTGGCAGTCCGGAGGAGCCTGCCTCACGCCAGCACCCTGCCCCCAGCAGCGTCACGGGCCTGTGTGTGCGTGTGCAGGCAGTTCGCCACAGCGTGACTTCTTGTTTAAGAGAGAGTAATGGTGGGGCTGGAGCAATAGCACAGCGGGTAGGGCATTTGCCTTGCATGTGGCCGACCCGGGTTCGATTCCCAGCATCCCATATGGTCCCCTGAGTACCTGAGCACCTGAGCACCTCCAGGGGTAATTCCTGAGTGCAGAGCCAGGAGTAACCCCTGTGCATCGCCGGGTGTGACCCCCCCAAAAATAAGAAAGAGAGAAAGGGCCAGAGAGATGGCCCAATGGGCAGGGCCAGGCTCCTCATGCAGGAGGCCTGGGTTCAGTACTCTAAGAGCCACTGGCAACCCCCAAGCACAGAGCTGGAAGTAGCCTCCACACACCAAAGGGTATGACCCAAAACCTGGGAGGGGACAAAAAAAGAGGTAATGGAAGTCTTCTCGTGTCTATTCAGAGGTTCCTTTCTGTGAAGGACTAGACAATAAACCCTTTTTTTTTTAAGGGTTGTGCTTAAACTTAGGGTTTTCCTCATAGTAAAATAGCTATAGGATGTCTCTAGTTTCTTTTTGTTGATCTGCTTTCGTTTTCAGCCCACGCCCAAAGGTCCTCAGGGACCCCACGCAGTACTGGGGATTGAACCAGGCTTCCTGCCTGCCAAATATGTGCAGAGCCTGCTGAGCTGTGTCCCCTGCCCATTTCCAGTTCTGCCCTTAGATATGGGGGCCACATGACTGCCAGCATGGCAGGGGTGTGTGGAGGCTGTTCCAGAGACGAGCGGACACCCTTTGCTCGTGGAGGAGAATGGGAGGATATGCGGGAGAGGACAAGTGTAGGGGACTTTCAGAGCCACTCACTCTTCCACAGTAACTCACCTACCTGCTGGCCCCACCCCATGCTGGTGTTTACTAGCCCAGGCTCCCTGGTGTCCCCACAGGATGAAGTGGAGTTCGGCTACATCGAGGCACCGCACAAAACCCTCCCTGTGGTGCTGGACTCCCCTCGAGATGGGAACCTGAAGGACTTCCCGGTGAAGCAGCTCCTGGTGAGAGACTGAGGGCCCTGCGGGGAGGGGGGGGGCGATTCCGGAGGACACTCACGGAGTGGTCAGGTCAGCCCCTAGCCCAGGGCTCTTTCTTCTTCTCTGCAAAGTGGGGCAGTGGGAAGCCGCCTCTGAAGCCCTGCCCCGTGGGGTCGACGCCTGACATCTCCCCCAGCATGGACAGTCCCCCTCAGACAGGCAGAGAAATAAGTTTCAAAAAGGAAAGTTTTGGGGCTGGAGCGATAGCACAGCGGGTAGGGCGTTTGCCTTGCACGTGGCCAACCCAGGTTCGATTCCCAGCATCCCATATGGTCCCCTGAGCACCATTGGAAGTGATTCCTGAGTGCAGAGCCAGGAGTAACCCCTGTGCATCACTGGGTGTGACCCAAAAAGGGAAAATAAAAAAGGAAAAGTTTTAGTGAAGCAGTTGTTGAAAATCACAGCTCCAGCTTCACAGTTCATGGGGGCCTTGAGGGATTTAGCTTATGATTTTTTCTTTTTTGGGAGGGGAGGGTGGGCGTTTACACCTGGTGGTGCTCAGGGCTTGCTCCAGCAATGCTTGAGAGACGCTGGGCTCTGAACCCAGACTCCTGCGTGCCAACACGTGCTCTGACCATAGAGTTCGCTCCCTGGCCCTCATAAGCCAGCCTTCTTCTTTTTCTTTCCTTTGTTCCTTTTTGTTTCTTTTTTGTTTTGTTTTTTGTTTAGGGGCTCAGAGGATATTCTTTGCTCAGTGCTCAGGGGTCAGTCCCCACAGTGCCCAAAGGGACCATGTGATTCCAAGGCTGAAACCAGGGCCTCCCACATGCAGTACATGCTCTTAGCCCATTCAGTGAGCTAACTTCCCAGCCCCTCATTTGCTTCCCCCCCCCTATTTTGTGGGGCCCCAGAAGGTAGTGTACAGGGCTTACACCTGGCTCTGCGCTCAGAGATCACCCCTGCCAGGGCTTTGGGGACCATAGGTGGTGCCGGAGATTGAACCCAGGCTGACCTTTTACAAGTCCCGCCCCTTCCCCACTGTGTTGTCTCTCCAGCCCCTTCCTGGGATATTCTGAAAGCGACCTGACCCTCTCCATTCTAGTGGCTCTCACCACTCCTCCGAGCAGTCAGGGAGCAACTTGGAGCCTGCAACACAGACTGGAGGAGTCAGGGCACTGTCCCCAAACCTCTTGCCGGTTTCATACCTGCTCATCAGGACATTCACCAGTAGCCCCTCACAGGGAGAGAGAGAACCAAAGGAGTAAAAATCAAAAGGCGGATTATCAGTTGGACTCAACCTTGAATCCCAGCTCCACCCTTCACAACAGCCCAGTCCTCTCCAGCCTCTATGTGCTGCTCTGTAAAATGGGGGCGGAAGTAGGATCTACCTCGCAGGAGTGCAGCGAGGGCTAGACACCTTCTGTAAGGCATCCGAGCAGTGCTTCATGCAATGACTGATGGCTGTGGTATGGATCAGTCTACAACCTGGGACATGGTCCAGGAAGGGCTGTTCACCTCCTACCCCACGTGAGAGGGCGGGGCAGACCAGCCATTGGCAGCCAGCACGATCATCCCCGGAACCAAGGCCTCCCGCATCCTGCTCACTCTCCCTGCTTGAGTTGCCACTGGCATCCAGTGCCCCAGGATGGCCTGCTTCCAAGTCCCAGGATGAGCTCTTCCTGGAGGCCTGGAGGCCCAGGTCCGGTTCTGTACCATGTGCCTGCCCACGAGCTGTCCCCCGGGCTTCTTAGCTGGGCCAAGCCACAGCTTCCCACGCTCGTTTCCATGTTTGTTCTGCTTTGTTTTCAATAGACTGCTCCATTTTTATTTTTAATTTTGCTCTCCCCTCCCCCATTCCCTTGGTTTGTTATTGCAGTGATCAGGCGCAAGGACACACCTGGCTGTGGTTCCAGGAGATCACACACTTTGTTATGGTGTCAGGGATCACGAGCAGGACAGCCCCAGCACACGAGGGGCTGCCGGGGGTCAGGCTTGAGGCCTCTTGCCTATAAGGCAGGTGCTCTAACTCTCAGCTTCTCCTCTTGCCCCACATCAGTTTGTTTTGTTTCATTTTGTTTTTTTTTGGGTTTGGGGCCTCACCCCACAGTGCTCAGGGGCTACTCCCAGCTCCGTACACAGGGGTCGTTCTCGTGGTGTTTGGAGGACCTGATGGGTCTGAGGATCTAACCCGGGCTTCCCGCATGCAAAGCATATGTCCCAGTTCTTTGGTATTGTTTGTTTGTTTGTTTGCTTGCTTGCCTGCTTTTTGGGTCATACCCAGCAATGCACAGGGGTTACTCCTGACTCATGCGCTCAGGAATTACTCTTGGTGGTGCTCAGGGGACCATATGGGATGCTGGGAATCGAACCTGGGTCAGCCGCGTGCAAGGCAAAAGCCCTACCAGCTGTGCTATCGCTCAGCCCCTGTTCCAACTCTTTGAATCATCTCTTTGATTTCTCCAAAAGGACAGGTTTTGTTGGTTGGTTTGGGCGTCACACCTGGCAATGCTCAGGTGTTACTCCTGGCTCTGCACTCAGGGATCACTCCTGACACGGCTCCAGGGTCCGATTTGGATGCTGGGGATCTACCCAGGTTGGCTTCATACAAGGCAAGTGCCCTATCTGTCCTACTATCTCTCCAGTTCCCAGAGACAGATTTGTTTTGTTTCGTTTTGTACCACAACCAATGGTACTCAGGGCTTACTCCTGGCTCTGTGCTCAGGGATCACTCCTGGTGGGCTTGGGGGACCATATGGGATGCCTGGGATCTAACACAGGTTGGTCACATACAAGCAAGTGCCCTGCCTGCTGTGCTATCTCTCCGGCCCTTAGACAGATTTTTAAGAGGTGGGGTTTTTGTTTGTGTGTGTGTGTTTTGCTTTTTGGGTCACACCTGGCAATGCACAGGGGTTACTCTGGCTCATACACTCAGGAATTACTCCTGGCAGTGCTCCGGGGACCATATGGGATGCTGGGAATCGAACCTGGGTTGGCCACGTGCAAGGCAAATGCCCTAACTACTGTGCCATCCGTTCCAGCCCCAAGAGGTGTTTTTGTTAAGTAGGTTTAGTCTCCAGTGCAAACTCAAAAATAAGCTTCCTAGTATTTTATCCAAATATATATATATGTATATATGTATATATACATGTTTATACACACACACACACACACGGATCCTTGGACGTTCCTGCGGGTGTCAGAGCATGTGGAAGACCCAATTAAGAAGGGTCTTCTGGGCTCTGAACAAATCTAGTTGGTTGGGAATAGACCGGGTTAGCCCACGTGTTCAGTATCTAGCACTCTCGCATGTTGTTCAGCTTTCACCAAACCAGGCGGGAGTGACCAGCCGCCCCATGCCCATGGCAGACACAGCAAAGGTTGCCTTCCTGGTCACACTCTGCAGCAGATATCATTTGGCGGTTTGCAACTCAGCTCTTCCTGCCTTCCTCATTCTAGAACCCAGGCTGCAGCCCTAGGCTGGGAGCTGTCCATCTGCTAGCACAAGGAGATGTGAGAAAGTTGGCAAGCATATGATCCCTGCGGCTTGGTCCTAACCACGCTGCATCACTTCTGCTCATATTCCATTATCCAGAGCAAGCCTGCCCCTGGGTGGGGAGCACATTCCTTACTCAGAGAGAGGCCAGGAATCAAACCGCCTGGGGTAAGGAGGCAACATTCTCTTACTGGGAAGGGAGGAGTAAGTGTCTGGGAATGATCATATAATCTATCCCTTGGCCTTGGGCCACCTAATTTGACAGCCCTTTTGGATAGGGAAACCAGGGTCAGAGAAATTGAGATAGGCAGGGACATCAGTGGCACGAAATGAGGACTGATCCAGTATGTCTGAGAGAGGCCCGTGCTGAAACTTGGCTGTGAGCTGAGGTGTGAATGCACACACATGTGCTCCTACATGCCCACATTCATCTGTGGGGCCAGGCCCTGCATTTGGGTGGGAACAGAAGCCCACAAACTGGATAAAGAAACTATGGTACATGTTTACAACAGAATACTACTCAGCCATAAGAAAAGATGAAGTTGTGCAAATTGATGCAATGTGGACGATCTGGAGAGTTTTGTGTTGAGTGAGATCAGAGAGAGAGCGAGAACAGACTCATAATGATCTCTCTCATGTGTGGGATACGAATAAACTTCACTGGGAAATAGCAAATGCCCAATGGCAGTAGAGATGAAGAGCAGAAGAATTCGTCTTCAGTAGAAAGCTTGGCACTGGGGCAGGGGTCTGGGGGATAAGTCAAGGAAGCGAACACTAGGGGGATAACACAGAGGCAGGTTGGGGTCCAGGAGAGAAACCGGGGACATTGGTAGAAGGTAATGGGTTACTGGTGTTGGAACAATATATGCCTGAAAATCAAAAATATTTTTGTGGGGCAGAAAGGATATTTGCTTTGCATGCAGCTGACCTGGGCTCAGTCCTGGGTGCTTGGTCCTGGTGCTTGGTTCCCCAAGCACCGCCAGAGTGATTCCTGAATGTAGAGCTAGGAATAACCCCTGAGCTCCGCTGGGTGTGGCAAAAATAAATAAGTAAATAACTCTGCAATTGGGGGCTGGAGAGACAGTACAGTGGGTAGGGCATCTGACTTGCACTCAATCGACCTGAGTTCAATCCGCAGCATCTCATATAGTGCCCCAAGCGTTGCCAGGAATAATTCCTGAGTGCAGAGCCAGGAGTAAGCCCCAAGCATTGCTGGATGTGGCTCCCCCCAAAAAAGCTTTGTAATTCTTTGTGGTTCAATAAAACATAAAAGTGGGGCTGGAGTGATAGCACAGTGGGTAGGGCGTTTGCCTTGCACATGGCTAACCCGGGTTCGATCCCCAGGATCCTATATGGTCCCCTGAGCACCGCCAGGAGTAATTCCTGAGTGCAGAGTCAGGAGTTAACCCCTGTGCATTGCCGGGTGTGACCCAAAAATTTAAAAAAAAACATAAAAGTAAAAAGAAATCTGTTGGTGGGGTGACCCCCTCTAGAAGCCAAGTGTCTGATGTCACTACAGGTGATAGAGTGGATTTCAGAGGGGGCTTGGGAAGGGGGCTCTGAAGTCTTGGCTGCAGGAGACTAACAGTGGTTGTCCCCTGTCCAGGGCCCAGATTTTGGCTACGTGACCCGGGAGACAGATCCTGAGTTAGTCACCAGCCTTGATTCCTTCGGGAACCTGGAGGTCAGCCCCCCAGTGACCGTGAATGGCAAGACGTACCCCCTGGGCCGGATCCTCATCGGAAGCAGCTTTCCTCTGTAAGAGAAGGGGAGGGAGGGTTGGGTGAAGCAGGGCAGCCTGGATACAGGGTGGGGGAGGTGACTGTTTCTTGCATGTACCAGAAGTGACCAGCTAACGAATGAAGACCTGTGACTCTAATAGGAGATTTGTGCTCTCAGAGAAAGAAAATCACGCTTGCATTTCTCCTCTTACTATGTATTAGAATCTAAACTCAGCCAAACAAACTCATAACTCTCTTCCCCCAATAGGAGACTAGAAAATGAGAGGATAAATCACATGGGGAGGGAATGGAGGGGTCCAGAGAAGGAGCCCCTGAAAGAGGATCAGTGGGAGCACACCCAAAAGTCCTCAGGACCAGCGCATCCAGGAGGGGCATGACCTGGCAGCATGGCCCTGTGCCATTGGTGATTGGTGGCTTTCCAGTCTACCACCAGACCCCGTGCTGACCTCCAATCCAGGCAGAGACTCTCTCTGAGACAGGCTTGTTGCTGGGGAGAGAGGGAGCACTCTTCATCCTCACTACACAAAAGGGCTGCCAGGAGCCTGCGTGTGTGCCAGCTCTCAAGCATGGGTACTAAGATCTGCTGAACCTTCTGAAACGCTTTGCCTTCAGGGATGGGGGCCAGGGGGTGGCCATCAACAATAACAGGCCCTCCTCCTCCTGCCACCCACAATCGCCCATTGTGCAGCTGCTTCTCAGGCACAGCCAATGGTCAACCCTTGTTGGTCATGGGACTCCAACATGCAGCCTACTCAAGCTAGAGTGAAGGCCACAGACATGAAACGGGGCATTGAACAATTCAGAGAGCTGGGGGAACCTGAGGAGGGTTCCAACTCCCCTTGGGGAGGGCTTCTCAGAGGCAGCTGTGCGTGTCCCATGGCCCTTCTCTGTGTATAGAGTCCCAGGTTCTGGGGCTACTGGGAAACAGCCACCCACACAGCTCCAGGGTTTCCAGTGAGCTCTGGAGGAAAAAATAGGAGGCAACCGGGGCTAGAGAGATAGCACAGTGGGTTGGATATTTTCCTTGGATGCAGCCAACCCAGGTTTAATTCCCGGAACCCCTTATGGTTCCCCGAATGCTCCAGGAGCGATCCCTTAGTGCAGAGCCAGGAGTAACCCCTGAGCATCTCCTGGTATGGCCAAAAAGGGTGGGGGGGTGGCAACTATAGGAAAATGGGCAGGAAAAAAACATTCCAAACAGAGGGAATACAGCCTGGAAGGGGCGCCAAGCTGAGCTTAGAAGCGACCGAGAGGAGAGGAGAAAAGGCAGGGGATCAGAAGGAACCCACTGACCACTGGAAGAACTTTGGGTTCTGTTCCAATGAGTGTGGGCAAGTCTAGAAGTCAGGATGGACTTTTGTTTTGATTTTGGTGGGGTTTTTTGAGAATGAGGGGCCACTTTTGACTGTGCTCAGAGATCACTCCTGGTGGCGTTGATGCCGGGGATCGAACCCAGGTTTACTGCCTACAAAGCAAGCACCTTGCCTGCTGTACTATTGCTCGGGCCCAGAAGAGGCCTTTTATTGGGGGAAATGGGGGAATGCATTTGAATTGATCAATGACCATGTTGAGAAGCTTGTAAAGAAGCCACGTGCATACTTCAAAGCTGGAGACCCCGCCTTTGCTCCAGTGCTCTGCAGCAGTGCAGACAGGACCCCGAGCACAGGAGTGGGCCTCCACACATTACCAGTCCCCAGGGAGGCTCGGATCTGAGCTCCAGGCCTTCTGCAGAGGCCTTGGCCTCAGCTAAACCCATCTTCTTTGCCCTTGGGCTCAAATGACTTCCTGCCAGCACCAGGCGCTCAGGCACCATTTAGTTGGCTTCCCGTGGCTTCTCTGCTGATGCCACGCCAGGTTCCAGAGGCACAGGCTCTCTGAGGAGGCAGACTGCAGGAGACTAGGTTGCATGGGGGGCAACCTTCTGAAGAGCCACCTCCCTCCCCCCAGGTCAGGAGGCCGCAGGATGGTCAAGGTGGTGCGGGACTTCCTGCGGGCCCAGCAGGTCCAGGCGCCGGTGGAGCTCTACTCCGACTGGCTCTCCGTGGGCCATGTGGACGAGTTCATGACCTTCGTCCCTATCCCAGGCACAAAGGTGAGCAGGCTCCTGAGATGGGAAAAGCCTCCTAGGGAAGCTCTGTACTGCTCTCTTGCCAGCAGGGGGCAGGATAAAGACGGAGGCACCGGGTAGCGGGGAAGAAGTAGGCGGACTCTCCTTTGCATGGTGTTGCTGTGATCCCTCAATGTCTAACCCAGTGGATCAGAAATATTAGCATTTCAGCATGAAACCAGCATAAAAAGTATCCCAGAGTTTACATTCTGGTTTGCATATTAAATGAATTATTGAGGGCCGGGGAAACAGCACAGGGGTTAAGTCACTTTGTCTTGCACACGGCCGACAGGAGTTGGATACCTAGTACTGATAATGGTTCCCCTGAGCACTATCAATGGTGACCCCAGAGGCCAGAACAATAGCACAATGTTTACCTTGCTCGCAGCCAACCCAGGTTCAATCCCTGATCTCCCATATGCTCCCCTGAGCCCAGTCAGGAGTGATCCCTGAGCACAGAGCCAGTAGTAAGCTCTGAGCACCACTGGTTGTGGTGCAAAAAATTGATACATACATAAATACACAAAAATTAACAGATCTTCAAAAAACTTGGAGTGTACCTTACTCATGGGGCATGTCTCCATTCAAATTAGCCACAACGCAAGTGTCCATTAGTCACACAGGACTAAGGACAAGCCCGTTGGGGGTCACACCCTTGACTAACGAGGGATGAACCTGGGACCTGGAAAGAGAGCCTGGTGGGGGTTGGGTTTTGAACCCTCACCCAGTGTTGCCCAAGAGCTATTCCCAGCTCCAGGATTGCTCCCCAGAATGCTTGGGGGACCACACGGCACCAGGGCCCAACCCTGGGCCTTCCACATGCAAAGTGTGTGTCTCCAGCCCTTGGAGTCACGGCCCTGCCCTAGGTCTTTCATTGTCTGAAGTGACTGGCATGGCTGCAATGTCTTACCCTGAAATATTGAGACACTGGCCGGGCCTCAGTGCCAAGATCCCTCTGCCTTGAAGTTTTGACTCGGTGGCACTGCAGAAGTGAGTGGATTTTTTTTTTGCAACAAAAACCGTGCCAAGAGCTTTTACAATTCGGCATGGGGAGGCTCCCTCTTTTTTTTTTTTTTTTTTTTTTTACTTTTTTGGGTCACACCCGGCAATGCACAAGGGTTACTCCTGACTTTGCACTCAGGTATTACTCCTAGTGGTGCTCAGGGGACCATATGGGATGCTGGGAATCGAACCCGGGTTGGCTGCGTGCAAGGCAAATGCCCTACCCGCTGTGCTATTGCTCCAACCCCCAAGGCTCTTGTTCCACTGTCCCTTGCCGACCACGTCTCATCTCTCCCAGAAATTCCGGATGCTCATGGCCAGCACCTCAGCCTGCTACAAGCTCTTCCGTGAGAAGCAGAAGGAGGGCCATGGGGAGGCTGTCATGTTCAAAGGTGAGTGACCATGGGGGCCTTGGCTGGAGTGGGAAGCAGAGTCCCCAGAGAGATCCTGGGGAGGATAGCTCCGTGGATTCTTAGCTCCTGAGTACCCACTCTGCCTCCCGGGCCGCCATGGGGGCAGTCCTACCCTCTCATTACCCAGCTGGGCCAAGAGCCACCCTCTGTTCAGTGTTTGTATATTTTAGGGATATGGTGTTAACACCCCAAACCCCCACCAAAGTGTTTTTCCACCTCTCCATTCCCACTTCCTCCTGCTCCTCCTCCCAACACCCCATACACTTTTGGGGTTTTGTGATGCTTTTTTTCACTGTTTGGGGTTTTTTTCTGTTAGAATGGGATTTTTGTTTGTTTCTGGGTTTGGGGTCCACACCCGGCAGTGCTCAGCAGTTATTCCTGGCTCAGAGGTGTACCCCACTCCCCCTGGCTAACAGCTCACCTGCAGAATCAAGTGGGTGATTTTGGGAATTTGTGGTGCCACTCCCAGCCACTATGGGATGGCACAGAAGCTGCCACCATTCCTGCACTGACTGCTCCTGGGAAAGGTATGTCAGCTGCTATCCCCAGGTAGGGGGCCTGGTTACCCCCCCCCCCGAGTTCCCTTCTGCTGTTGGTCAGGCCCCTTCTCCCCACCCCAGCAGCTAGCCCAGAATCTGGAGAAGCTTGGCCACAGTAATAATAATAATAATATTAATAAAACAAAACAGCAGGCTGGATATCTAAGGCCAGCCTGTCCTCTGATTGTCCTCGGATCCCACAGGCTTGGGCGGCATGAGCAGCAAGCGCATCACCATCAACAAGATTCTGTCCAATGAGAGTCTCGTGCAGGAAAACTTGTACTTCCAGGTGAGCATGGGCAGGGCCCCAAAGGGCTGGGCAAAGGCAGGCAGGAGGAGACTAGCGGGAGGCAGCAAGTCTCACATCCTGAGGGGCCTGCATGGGGAATGGCTGGGTCTGTGGGGCATATGATATAGGAAAGGGTCTCCAGAAGCTCTGGGTCTAGCACCCAGCTTCCACCCTGTCCCCAAGCAGGAGGGGGAAGGAGCGGCAGAGCAGGCCGTGCAGATCAGAGGCTAGAAACAGACGGAGGCCTGCCAGGTGTAATCCCAGTGTCCCCCAGCACCTATGGGCCCAAGCAGTGAACTATCAGGCCCACCCAACTCTCAGTTCAAGAATCACTGAGAGTGACTCCTGAGCACTGTTGGTGAGGCCCTGATAAAAAGTCGCAAAATAACAGTGCCACGGATGTCCCTTGAGGCTAGAGCATTTGCTTTGCCTGTGTGAGGCTCTGGATACAACCCCCAATGCCACAAAATACATATATACATACATAAATACATACATACATAAATACATTGATTCATTTTAATTAAACTATGATGAAAGCAGCAGCCCTAGTCGCTTAAAAATGCACAGATGATGATATGCCCTGGATTTTTATTAGTTTTAGGGGACCACATATTAAATTTTTATTAGATTCATCGCATATTAGATTTTTATTAGTTTTAGGGGATCACAAGCAGGGTTACATATTTAATCTCTTTTGGCTTGGATATATTTAAAGCACCAAGTGTTTTGGGTTTTTTTAAGAGAAAATTCAAACAGATTTAAATTTAAAAGCATGAAACTAAAAAGTCCATCAGTAGTAGCTGCTACATTTTGCCTTTCTTAATTGTATGTATAGGAGGCAGAGATTTAGTACAGTGGGTACTCTTTTGCCTGCGTGCAACTGACCCGGGTTCGATCATCCCAAGCATCCCATATGGTTCCCTGAGCCCTTTCAGGACTAATCATGGACTCAGAGCCAAAAGTAAGCCCTGAGCACCACTAGGGGTAGCCCCAAAACCAAAATGAATCAATAATTGCATTCAATAATTATTGAACTATTTGAGTAATTAAATAATCAAATGATAATGATTGGATTTTATATTATAAATAAATCATTTGCCTTTCTTAGATATATTTTGGCATATTGAACAAAACAAGCCCTATCAGGTACAGTTTGATCAGGACTCCTTTTTTATTTTTTTTTCTACCCTTGGGGCTCTGTGATAGCCTCATGGTAGGAGCATAGCTGAAATATGGCATGAGCTGCACCAAGCACATCACTCACCAAGAGAAAGTCTTATGTGCTCCCAATAATTGAGCAAAAGCCTTGCCTTCTGGGCTTGGGTACTAGGTCAGCAGTAGAGTATTCGCTTTGTGTGTGTGTGAGGCTCTGGTCCAACTTGAACCAATCACTGTGTCTGGGGAAATTCCATACACTGATTGGTTTAATCCAGAGTTACTGGTACCCTTGAGCTGATCCCTGGGACAGATATTAGAGCAGGTTCACTGATTATCTCTCAACTGAGTAGGGCCGAGGTCAAACCAATACAACATCTCGTAGCTGCATTACAGGAGGCGAAACTTCCTGCATGCTGGAGAAGCAACTGCAAGGCTTTCCCAGCTCACCCAGCATCTCACTTACTGTTTGCACTTTCCTCTGACTGTCCCTCCCATTCTCGCTTTGTGGCATCACATAGATCCAAGGTCAAGTCATACCCCCACCCCCATTTTGGCAGAAGGACCTTGAGAGACTCCCTAAACTCTGTCTTCCAATCCCTTTCCAATCCCTTGTCTCAGATAAGGAGACTATAATAGTGTTGGCTCACAGGGTTGAGACTTAATGAGGTGGGGCTCTTAGCGCTCAGTGTGAGACCTGCTCCTGAGAATCCTGCCCACTCTCTGTCGCCATCACTGCTACAACTGGGTGGGGTGGGGGGGAAGGTGGCCAGGTGAGCACTGGAGCTCCCTGGGATCTTGAACTGATGCTGCAGACTGGGTTGGGCTTCACAAAAGGAGCAGGAGCATCCCTGACCTGTCGGTCCTCCCCCGCCCTCACCCAGCGCTGCCTGGACTGGAACCGCGACATCCTCAAGAAGGAGCTGGGGCTCTCAGAGAAGGACATCATCGACCTGCCCGCCCTCTTCAAGATGGACGAGGGGCGCCAGGCCGTGGCCTACTTCCCCAACATGGTAAGGCTCTCTGGGCCCCAAAATTCATGTGGGCAGCTAGAGGCAAAAGGACCCCTCAGCTGAGGCTGCTCCAGTGTGGAAGCCTAGTTGCTTGGCCTGGCTGCCTCAGTGCAGCCTGAAGAACCCTTGTCCTTATTACCAAATAGGAAAGTGCTTTGTGATCACCAAGACCTTGGAGACAAGAGGGATTCTCATTCTCATACGGGAAAGGAATGGAAAGAGGTTAGAACAGCTACACACACACGTACACACACACTCATGCGCACACATATGCATATACACATACATGCGCGTGCACATACAGATACACACAGCCACACACATGCACATGTACACACATGCACACACATGCACACACTGACACACATGCATTTACGCACACGCACACACACATACACACATGCACACACGTACACACACACAGCACACACACATTCATGAGCACATGCAGGCGCACATACACATACACACAGAGATAGGGCAGGGTGTAAGGCACATGCGTTGTACGCCCACCCCAGATCTATCTCCAACACCACATGGTTTCCCGAGTATCATCAGGTGCAGGCAGAAAGTGCCCTCCAACTGCCGGGGTGACCCAGGTAGTTCCCTGTACCACACTGCCTGTGCAGTACCACATCCTGGCATTAAACTATTGGCCAAGAATCACTCAGAGGAGCCCCCTAGGCTTCAGTGGAGGAAGGGGGAGAAATGGCACAGAAGTTTGCTTTTTTCTTTAAATGAAATATAAAAGGCCAGAGAGATAGCACAGCAGGTAGGGCGTTTGCCCTGCACGTGGCCAACCCAGGTTCAATTCTTCCTCCCCTCTTGGAGAGCCCAGCAAGCTACCAAGAGTATCTAGCCCTCACGGCAAGGCCTGGCACGCTACCCATGACGTATTCGATATGCCAAAAACAGTAACAACAAGTCTCACAATAGAGACGTTACTGGGCCTGCTCACGCAAATCAATGAACAACGGGAGGACAGTGACAGTGACAGTGAAGAGGCCAGAGATATAGTACAGTGGGTAAAGCACTTGCCTTGCACACAGTCAACCCAGGTTCAATTCCTGACCTCGCATATGGTCCCCGGAGCAGTGCCAAGAGTGATCCCTGTGTGCAGAGCCAGGAGCAAACTCTAATCACCCCTGAGTGTGGCCAAAAAAAACAAACAAAAATAAATAAATAGTAGGCCAGAGACATAGTGCAGGAGGTGAGGCACTTGCCTCGCATACAGCCAACCAGTTCAGACCCCAGCACTGGTACTGCACACAGTCTCCTGAGGATGAGGAGCACTCACTCCTAGTCACAGAGCCAGGAATGGCCCCTGAGGCCCGCAACACGAGAACCCTCTAAAATATAAGAAGTACATAAATACATACCCACACATATGCACATAATGTTCCTGCTGGTCCCTCATGCCTAGGACTTGTCCATACATGCATACAGAGGCTGTTGCCACCTCAGTGGCCACCTGTACACACCTGGCACAGGGGCAGGGTAACTGACTTCCCCATAGAGCTCCCGCCACGTCTGAGGTGCTGAGTCCCCTCTGCAAGTTTGCATCCTTCTATGAAAGTGAGACCCATGGCAACACGCACTTCCTGGGTGGTCTAGAGAGTCCGGTGGGCACCGAGCCCCTGGTGGTGCTCATGCAGGCTGCTGTCGCCACCCAGGTGAACATGATCGTGCTGGACAAGGACCTCGGCATCCCCAAGCCCTTCGGGCCGCAGGTCGACGAGCAGTGCTGCCTGGAGACACACGTGCGTGGCCTGCTGGAGCCGCTGGGCCTCAGCTGCACCTTCCTGGATGACATCTCTGCCTACCACAAGTACCTGGGCGAGGTGCACTGTGGCACCAACGTGCGCCGGAAGCCCTTCTCCTTCAAGTGGTGGCACATGGAGCCCTGAGCCGCGGCCTCCAGGTTGCCCTCCTGCCCCCGTGTTCTCCTTGCGCCCTGCAGAGCCTGCCCCTACCAATGTGGCCAGGAGACCTTCAGGCAGGGTGGAGGAGGAATGTGGGGTGGGGACCTTGACCTCCTCCAGAAGGGCCTATGTGTCCCCCAAAACCACCACCATAGTTCTCACCTCTGTCCTCCCTTGAAACAGCCGGGCCTCTGGCCAGCGTGTGTGTAGTGTGGACATGAAAACTAAAACCCCAGCCCCTGACCCCCACTCCCCAGAGAACCCTTAGTCTTCTGGTCAATAATAACTGGGGCAGGGGCAGGGCTGGGGCTCTCCTGGTAGCCAGAAGGTCAAGAAAGGTCAAGAATGAATGCTAGGGAAAGATGCAGGGACCTCAGATGGACCTTCAACCATTTAATCATTTTAAATTCTCCTCTCTCGGGGTGTCCAGGAGACCACCCCCAATTATTCTCTGTTTCCCAGCCTCTCTCAAATTCCCCAGGCTTTCTTTGTGCTATGGAAATGCCATAGACCAGCTTCCCTTTCCCCTTGGGTCCGGTAATTCACGTAGAATGTTTCCTGGAGATGGTTCTTATCAGGGCCATTTTCTTCCTACTTAGGATGCTCCTGACACTTCATATTTCTCTTGAGCACAGGCCCTCCCTGGTGTTCAGGGTTTATCCCCCCACCAGGCTCCCCAGCACTCCCCAGGAGCCAGGGTCTGCCATCTTCCCTCTCCTGGTTCTCAACTCGCCAGCCACTCCCTGACTTCCCTTCTCCCATCTCTGCTTCCTGTCTATTCTCCATGTCATCTCTCTCCTGACAGCTGAGAAGGACCTCAGCCCCTTTCCCATGCACCCACCAGTCAGACTCAGATCTTCTCCCAGGACATACTAATCACTTGCCTCTCCCCAAACTTCAGGTTCTAAAATTTAAGGAACCTGGACTAGCCCCCAGCCCAAACAACTGGCTGTGGGTCTTTGAAATAGATTTGGGTCTCTCTAGAAGTTTACTCAGTGCATTTGCACAAGACCTGCTCACTTGTGCTGACACAGATCAACTGGTGCCAGAGAGATCACTGAATGGGTTGAGCATATACTTTGCACACAGGAAGCTCGGGCTTGATTTCCAACACTGTAAGATCCCCTGAGAATCACTGGGACTGACTCCTGAGCACAGAACTGGGAGTTAGCCATTCAGCACCTCTCAGTGTGAACCCAAAGCAAAACTCAGAACAAACCATTAATTCCCTGGCTTCAGCTGAGAAGACCCGGTTTCAACTAAAACAAAATAGTTCCTTTAGGATCTGCTGATACCAGAAAAATAAGTGAATTATAATTCCACTTCAAAGGTTAACAGGAATCAATAAAAACCAATGAAAAGGTTACAAGTGGGTACTCTTGGGAGAAGGAGATTTTCTCTTGGGATTATTTCACTCACTCATTCAAAAAACATTGAATGTGTGTCTATGTCACAGGCACTGTGTTGGGCTCTAAGGATACAGTAGCCAGCAGCAAACTGAACCTGGTCCCTGCCTCCTGGGCCTGGTCCATTCCCTCATGCACCGCCCTGACCTTTCAATGGCCAGTATCAGCCCTTCAGTCAGGCATTTGCATCAGGATCCCTGCAAAGAATGTGGGTCTTCTTTAAACATGCCTCCTTCCCACCCAGCTGGTCCAGGATTCCAACAGATTAGACCCTAGAGCCTACGGATCCTGTTGTCCCTTTGTGGGGACAGTGGTCCACACCTTTGGAGGCCAAAGCCCCCAAATCTCCCCAACCCCAGACTTGAAGACACCAAGTGCCTATTTGAGGGTGTTTATCTGGAGACTTGTGTGTTTTGCTTGCTTTCATTGTTTTCTAGTCTAGTAGAAGGGGAAGTGGGTACCTCCCACGTGGAGACAGTGTGTATTTATAGATATTTCTAAAACTCTTCCCCTGTTGATAAACTCCTTGCTTTTTTTTTTTTTTTGGTGTTTGGGTAGCCTTCCAGGACTCAGATTCTCATTTCCATCTCACGTGACCACCTCCGACATGGACATCTCCCCAAACCTATGGGCCCATTGCTTTTCCCCAACCTACCCCCACTTTCTATAACTGTAGACCCAGAATATACTTCTGTGTATTGCAAAACTCTACTAAGTTCCTGTTTCCATCTTGATTTTGAAATACTTGATGCAAGAGGACAGAGGGAATGGTGAGGAAGGTAACAATGAGAGCACAGTTTCAACTCTCACAACAGGAGGCCGTGATGGAGAAGGAGAGGTGTTTGGGGAAAGACCTGATTATGCAACAATAAAATTAACAGTCATAAGGCACATCATGTGACAGTTGGTATGATGTTATTGCCGCTTCTCGCGCACGGCCTGGAATGATGTCAAGCACACATACACATCTCCTGGTCCTGCTGTGTCTGCCATTCTGGGTACAGTGTAAACTTATCTCAGCGGGGTTTGGCATTCCCACCATACTCTGCAGATGTGTATTGCATGTCCATCACCAAGATCAAAACTAATACCCACTTGGGTTGGAGAGATAGCACAGTGGGTAGAGTATTTGCTTTGCATGTGGCTGACCCAGATGCAATATCTGGTACCCCATAGGATCCCTTGAATCTTCCAGGAGTGATCCTTGAGTGCAGAGCCAGGAGTAAGTCCTGAGCATTGTCAGAACAAAAAAAGGGGCTGGAGCAATAGCACAGCAGGTAGGGTGTTTGCTTTGCACACGGCCAACCCAGGTTCGGTTCCCAGCATCCCATATGGTCCCCTGAGCTCCACAAGGAGTAATTCCTGAGTGCATGAGCCAGGAGTAACCCCTGTGCCTTGTACATCGTCAGGTGTGACCCAAAAAGCAAAAAAGAAAAAAAAAAAAAAGAAGATCACAACAGCAAAGCCACGGGAGCTGGAGAATGAGCTCCCGGAATCAGGAAAGGATCCACACAAGACACCACAGACATAAATAGTGTCCGTGGCTCCTGGTAACCATGCTTACAGTATGGAACTGCTGCATGTGTGTTTGTGATTTGACCTGTAGCATAAAAATCTATAACAGGGGTTGGAGCGATAGCACAGAGGGTAGGGTGTTTGCCTTGCACGCGGCCAACGCGGGTTTGATTCCTAGCATCCCATATGGTCCCCTGAGCACCACCAGTAGTAATTCCTGAGTGCAGAACAAGGAGTAACCCCTGTGCAATGTTGGGTGCGACCCAAAAAGCAAAAAAAGAAATCTATAACACATGGTCAGATAAAACAGCATTTTTGTAAACAAATTCCTGAGACCCATTTTGGAGCTACTTGGTGGGTTGCTGAATCTGGGAAGCAGTTTCAAGCTCTTTGGGGCTTCCAAGTCTCTCACTCCTCAGCCCCTCTTGAGCTTCTGGACTGATTTTTCTGGGTAACCATCTGAAGGGGTCACTACAAGCCAAAATCACAGGTTCTCTTACCACTACATTTGATGCGTCTGGTACTAAGGTCCTACTTAACGTTTATACTCAGCCTATGTGGCCCAAGTCACGGTGTGGCCAATCTTCATTGCAACTTCCTGACCCACCTATTTCTCAGCTCCTCCGGGATGCTGGTGTGCTAGATCAGTCCACCTTGGGGACACACTTGCCAACCTTAGGATTGTTGACAGGAGGGGCTAGGGACATAGCTCCAAGGGATAAAACACAAGCATTTATAGGGCAGATATGAGGCCCCTAACAATGCATAGCCTGAGCACTTACTGGCTATATACTGGTGGCCCCTAGCAATACTGGGAAGGCAAAAAAAAAAAGAAAAAGAAAAGATTGGGGATCCAGAGAGATAGCAGTACAGGCTGGGTGCATGCCCTGTATGCTTTCAATGCACCCCTGCAAGTAAGTGCCTCTGAACACCACCAGAAGCAAGCCCCAAGCTCAAAGCCAGGACTAATGTACCAGCCCCTTGACGTATTGGGTATAGCTCAAAAACAAAAAAACAAGATTTTTAATGCTCAATTTTTAATTTTTAATGCTCAACAGAGTAAGTTTGTGTTTTGCATCTAGGAGGCCCAAGTTGAATCCCCAATACCTCACAGTCCCCTGAGCACTGCTGGAATGGCCTCTAAGCACCAAGCTGGAAGGAGACCCTGAGCATTACCGGGTGTACCCTCAAACACAACGGAAACAAGGCTGAAGGGATAGCACAGGAGGGAAGGCACTTGCTCTGCATACGGCCACTGTGACCACATCTCTGGCTTGATTCCTGGCACTACATCACACACTGCCAGGAGTAACCTCTGAGCACAGAACCAGGAATAAGCCCTGAATACCAGGGGGTATATACCCCCCCCCAAAAAAAAATCAAAACAAAATTTCTGACCATCACCCTGAGACTTCTAGCATTTTACCATAGAAACATAATGCAAACTGTTAATGCAATTTCAAATTTCCTAGGAGTCACGTTTTAAAAGAAAATAACAGGTGGATTTAATTTTAATAATATTTTATTTAACACAGTACATCTAGATTATTTTCATTTCAATGTGTAATCAAAAAATCTAATGTGGGCTGAAGCAATAGTATAGTGGGGAAGGTGTTTGCCTTGCATGCAGCCGACCCTGCATCCCATATGGTCCCCCGAGCATTGCCAGGAGAGATTCCTGAGTGCAGAGCCAGAAGTAGTCTCTGAGCATTGTCGACCCAAAAAGAAAAAAAAAATCTAATGTTAGTAAAACAGCCTGTGGTATTCAGGGATTACTCCTGACTCTGCTCAGAGATCACTCCTGGCTGTGCTCAGGAACAATATAAGGTGCTTGGGATCAAACCCAAGACAGCGGTGTGCAAAGCAATCACCTGACCAGCTCTAGTACCTCACCAGCTCTTGAGTCTGCATTTTAGTATAAACTGTTGTCTTAGGGAAGCAGGTGATGGGAGCTGAGGTTCTTATTACCCCAGCTCCTTCGCTCCAGGTGAGACAGTAGATGTGGGGGTCCCTCTCCCCTCAATAAATGAAAGAGAAGCTAGGGATAAATTCTGCTTCCCCGGTGGCACAAATCCCTGATCCCCGTTGGAGTAGCTTC